ACTGAATGGAATTATTAAAAACCAGTTCTAAATAGACATGTGCAATTCGTTTCGTTCCGAATGCCAATTCGGACTAATTTCGGGCAATTCGGACATTCGGATACTTCCGAATGTCCGAATAGCTGAATTGCCGAAGGTCTGAAATGTCAAAGTGCCGAAGTGCCAAAGCTCCGAAGCACAGAATTGTCGAAGTACTAATATACCCAGTGGAAGAATGAAGAATGTTACACTGTATACCAGTTTAAATAAAAAGTATACAAACATAGCCAGGATTCAGCTGTAAGCATTTGCAACACTTACAACAATCAAGTAACACATTTATATAAAATGTAAGTTACTTAGCCAGTCAATGGATGGGAATGAGTAAGTAGATAACTCACTAATTCCTACGGTATTAGGTAGCTATCTACCAAAAGGCTGAAAGACCTAAATTGGTCTTTCAGCCAAATTTACTAATACTAAGTAAAACTTGCTTAGTATTAGTAAATTCTGCCCCTACTCGCTATACCGCAAAAAGGGCCTTTCTAGTAAAAAGTTTAAACAAAAAACCTGTGTCCCCCCTCCCGGAGCCCCACCCGTGCGCGTGAGTGGGGGCTTTTAAACCGAAGGGGGGACCTATTGCCCCACCTGGCCCCCACCCCTGAGTGGCAGGGGTGGGGGCCCTGGATCAGAATAAGGCGGGTGGGGGCCCTTAATAAGTGTGTGGGGGCTTTTAAACCGAAGGGGGGACCTTATAAAGCCTTCCCATGCCCTGCAATTAGGCTCAGAGCGCTCCGATTGGTTGGTTTAAGCCATCCAATCAGAGTGCTCTGACAGGTAACAGGTAAGTTGCTACATTTACCTGTCACAGCACTCTGATTGGTTGGCTTGAAATCCAACCAATCAGAGTGCTCTGTGTCATTTTACACAATGTGGGAAAATTCCAAAGAACTTTCCCACGCTGTGTAAAATGACTAGCACTCTTATTGGTTGGACTCCGAGCCAACCAATCAGAGTGCTCTGAGTCAAATTACACAGCGTGGGAAGGCTTTATTAACCTTTCCCCGCCCTGCAGAGCTCAGTCTGTGCCGTGCCGTGCCATGCCCTTGCCGGGTGAAGATTTTTTTTTTAAGCGTCAGGTTTGGGTGTTTGTTGCGCTCAGGTTTTATTTAATTTTTTTACAATTTCAGTGGGTATTATGGTTTTTATTTGGCCTTTTTTGAGGATGAAAAAAGAAAACATCAAATGGTAAGTTTTATTTTTTTTAAGGGTACTTCTTTTATTCCCCCCCCCCCTCACTATTTTTAGGGTGAGGGGGATAGGTAGGAGTTTATTATTTTTTTATTTTGGTGGGGGGGGTGACTAGGGGCTTGGGGACCCCTAGTCACCTTGGGGATGCATTTTCATTTAGGGCACCCACCCTCCGCTCAGGGATGGGGGCCGGGGTGGAGGACAATAGGGCCCCCTTTATTGTTATTTATGGCCCCCACCCACCGCTCAGGGGTGGGGACCAGGGGGGAGGACAATAGGTCCTGTCCCCACATTCTCCTTTAGGGCTCCACCCGCCACTCAGGGGTGGGGGCCGGGGGGGAGGACAATAAGTCCCCCCACTTATTTTTATTTAGGGCCCCCACCCACTGCTCAGGGGTGGAGTCTGGGGGGAAGACAATAGGTCCCCCCTTATGGTTATTTATGGCCCCACCCACCGGTCATGGGTGGGGGCCAGGGGGGAGGATAATAGGTGTCCCCCCCCCCATTCTCATTCAGGGCCCCCACCCGCCGCTCAGGAAAGCTAAGAATTGTGGGAACATTTCTCTGACCACCGGAAATGAAGCACAGTTTGCTCCTCCGCTGGTCAGAGATGGTCAGGCGTAGGAAACCTCCATAAGACAAATAGTCCCTACTTTGTCTTATGTTTTAAACAAAACTAGAGCAGATAGGAAGAACAGATTCTGAGAGAGGGAGAGAAGTGGAATCGATTAAAGAAAGGTAAGTTCGGCATGACAGTGCCGCTTTAATGAAACATTCTGATTTCTTCTATTATTGTGTACCACTGTTGTCCATCCCTTGTCTCTAGGAGTTCTTGGCATATTCATGGGTTTAAATTGTGGGTTTTCCTGATTCTGGTGTTGTCTCATATAGATATTTTTAGGGGGATATCTTCTAGGTGCGTTATTGCTATGGTTCCTTCTGTTTGTTGGCACAAATTACGTATTAAAATAAATTAGCTGAAAATCCCCTTTCTGCTGCCAGTGAATGTGCACGCTGTGGCAAAACCGACCTCGCCACGTGTCCTTGGAGGGGGCTGCTTGCCCGCCTCTTGCCTTTGGACTATGGACCAGACTTTATGTGAATGTGTTAACCCAGATAGCTATGCCATGGAGCCCATTTGTGTAGTTAAAGACTTCGGCTCCATGGCAATTGAACTGTGTGAATAGGATCTGAGCGCTATTCGGTAGTTTTGTGCGCTCAGATCCCAGCTATCTGGGGATATGTGACATGTCTGTGTTTTATGTATAAAATGTGACTTTGTGTATTTTATAATATTTTAATGCTTTGTGCTCACCATGTGCATAATGGAGTCTTGTGTCTGTCCTGGGAGATAATTGAATTACTTCTCAATTCAATCTCCAGGATAGAAGACTGAAACTGGTTTGGGCCGGAAAGCCATGCTTCATTTAGTCACAAAGGACTTTCCCTTAACTTTTGAACCCCTGGTCTGATTCGTGCCATTTTTTAATATGTTGTTCCCCTGAATGGATTGATTATGAAAATGTATGTTTTATGTTTGTGACATGTATATTTTAGAAGTTATAAATATTGTGTAAAAACTGTATTCCTCTGCCGGTGATAATGAGATTACCCATTGTGTTCAGTAATCATATCACAGGCAGAGGGGAGGATTTTGTGTGGGAGTGTCTGGGTGTATTGTATGGATTGATTGGTTGTTTTGTAACGCCCTGTGGGCTGTACTATGTTTGTGGATTGGGAATAAAAGAGACTGTATGTGACAGTACAGGGAGTTCCTGCTTAACCCTCAAAGTGAAGTGTCTCATTATTGGGAGAGGATTTATTGTATGCTGTTCCAGTTTGACTGCTAGGAGTCTAAACCCATCCATATGGTTTTTGCCTATTCAGCTGTTTATAGCATTCAAATGCTTGAGAGCCTTCATATGCTCCTACGGTTCGGTGGTTTTGGTGTCTGCTGCAGTGCTTGGAGTCCTCAGGAAGCGCTAGGAGCATCCTTCAACGGAGGTACCCAGTCGGGGTGCCAGGCGATCCGTTACACACGCGCTAGCATCACGATATTCACTAAAATGAGAAGTGTCAACAAAATTGCACTATATTCTAAAACAGACAGATTGGAGAAGAAAAAAAAATCAAACTTTGTATGTTTTCTATCTTAGCTATTTTGGATAAAAAATGTTCACAGATCCCCAACTTAGCTTTCCACAGCTCTTAGTGTTAGGTTAGTGATTAATGCTAATAAAATATTTTGTAAAATAAAGCCTGGTTTGTACACGTGTGAGACGTGCATGGGGCCTTCAGCAGTCAATCTATTTCTCTTTACATCTGCTCCCGGAAAGGCTGCTATTAATGGCAGTAGAGTTCTAGCAAACATAGTCTGAGTCTGTTAGTCATGCATAGATCACTGTTATTACTGCTGAAGAGGTCATATTGATGGAGGTTGCACACAATCCCAGTAGCCTCCATCTCTTAAATCCATATATTGAATATGAGCAAAGCCACCTGCACAGAGATCAGTGGGTTTACTGTGCAAATATGGCCCTTCATTTGTATTTGTCTACGGCTAATGGTTGCTAGCCCTCCATTGTAGCTACTGCATACTTTAGCCAATTATTTACAGTGGTTAGGAAAGAAAAGAAATGTCACTCACAATAGGTGTATAAAGCCCCAGGGAGAAATCTTACACACCCACAGGTACTTAGGGAGATTAGTATAGTATTTTGTTACATAACATTGGTGTAAAGCCAATAATGGTGCCATGAAAAAAAAATTGGTGTAAAGAGGTTAAAGGTCACTGCATGAAAAATAATCATAATCCAAAAATTGTAGGTCTGTGGATTTCTGCAAATAATCATTCACTTGGTTTTTCAGTTCAACAGAAACTGCAATAATTAACATTGCAGGGTTAAGGGGACAGAGACATGGCACCCAAACCACTTAAAATGTGCTGCAGTAGTCTGGGGGTGTTTAAAGATTTAGCAAATTACATCATAAAGCACCATTTCATTTCTCAACTTCTCTCTTTCTCTACACTGACTGCCAAGGGCAAAGGACAAAGCGTGTAACAAGGATATACAGGGAACTTAGACAGTGGCACCCATAGACTTAAGTAAACATAATATTACAAATTCTCGGAAGGATGCGTTTCAGAAGATCAGATGCAAAAAATAAAATAAAGCAAGTTATGTCTAATGTTCATCATTTTTTATTGATCATCATTGCTGTTGGTTAAGGTTCATAAGTCTCAATAGACTGTAATAATAAAACTAATATGAGAACCTATACAAACACGTATTTAACCTTTTATTGCCATGGGGTACTCTTGCAGCAGTTTAATCAGTTTAATCATGATATTCAAAACTAAGCACTATTAAGTAAGACTGTAGTAGATAATATTAAAATAGTAATTCAGGGTTTATTAACAAAGGTATAAGGCTTTGGGAGTAAATAGCGTTTAATAAGGCTAATTAATATAAAAATACTACCAGCTCTATCTATATTGTAGAAGATAGCCTATATCAGATATGACATTAAAAATAACAAGAAAACTAGGACAGTAAGAGTTAACATCACCGGCACCCTAAACTCTAAGTGTCTATTAAATTGTTTCAACATTTGTCACAAGTGTGAAATATAGATTTATTGGAAGATGCTTTCTTTATAAAAAAAAAAAAAAAGTACATGGCTCCACTTCACTTCTTCCATCACAAGGTCACCCGGCTGTGTCCATCAACACCCAAGATCGTGTTGTTCAGTTAGGAAGGAAGATAAGTTCATTCTTCACAATCTCCTTTATCCAGGGTAGCATGGAGAAAATGCTGATATGGAAATCCCAGGAACGTTCTGGGATGGGAGTGGGTTTCCTTTTGGAGCCAATACAATGATTCACAGATCCCCAGCTTATAATTCCTACCTATAGAGACAGGATACAGGTTGACTGGTCATAAAGGAAACGTGAAAGCAGTATAGTGATATCCACTATTGAAGAAACACCTCCTATTGTCCAGCTATATCCTACATGTGGGGAGTTTCAAATACCACTGTATGCCGTTTTACCTGGAGCTGGGCATAGCTCTATTGATTGTGAGTTGACATTTCTCTATTTCTATGTTGTCAGTGACGCCATTTCCAAACGGTTTTGCACTATTGGTCCCTTCTTGTTTCTGCTTTTGTATTTCATATTAACTACCGAGGACCCAAAGCAAGAACCAAAGAATACCTATCCAAGGTCCACACTGCATTTTCAGAGACTTTTGCATTTCCCTTTTTCTGTGTATTAATTTTTATTTTTCTACTAAGCGCACCCTGTATTTGCTGTTTCCTAGTGATATCCACTGACTGCGCAGTCTGAAGCTCATCTATACCAGCTATAGTTCACTAGAATAAAGCATTTACAACATAAACAAGCCAACTAAACAATAAACACCTGCTAACCATAATCCCTAACTCTCCCTAAACCTACAGGACAGGATACACTGTACTGCTGTTTTACCCCTTCACGTTACAGCACCAGGTACAATAATGTGACTTGACCCCTATAATAATGCCTATAACAGATGGCACTATAGTGATGCCAGTACTTTGTAAAGGCTTACTCCAAGTACTATGACCACTTCAGTGATTTTAAGAGGCCATGGCGCCTGGAGTCTATGAAATGCTGCACATATGAAGTTTAACCCCTTTGCTGCTCGAGGTGTAACGTCACCTGTGGCAGCATCATAGGGACATAAATCATCCCATAAATAGAGTTTCAGGCTGGGTAATGTCATCTCTGTGCATATTTCTATGGAAAACTAACAGTGCCCGGGGACTCAGGTAGGAGGTCAAACTGTAAAATGGTTTGTCCAATTACTGGGAAACGGGGACAGGGTTCCCCTATCTAGACATGTGAATGGTTTGTCCAATTACTGGGAAACGGGGACAGGGTTCTCCTATCTAGACATGTGAATGGTTTGTCCAATTACTGGGAAACGGGGACAGGGTTCTCCTATCTAGACATGTGAATGGTTTGTTTTTGGTTTCATTGGGATAACTTGAAAATTTGTTTAGGCATAATTTGTTAATTTTGAATTTGTAATAACCAGAAATGTTTCCGAAAATGTTCAGAAATTTGGAACCACGTTATACGGTGCTGTTTCGTAGATGGCTCCCTTAATTTGATGCCCTTATGACGGATTGCCTATTCAAGAATACATGTTGAGCTGAAGATTTTTATGTCACCAAACTTTATGAGCAATTTTACTAAATAAATTAACTGACAAATAAGCACTTTAACAACGAAATAACAGTGAAATTGATAACACAAGAAATACCCATGTATACTATAAACAAAATGATTTGTTCACTTAAAACAGGGCTTAACTACAGTTATCAACAATTGGAACATGCTTAAAGAAATATACACACATTAATGTTGTTTTCAAACACAATATCTTAAAGACACACATGACTATCATCACCACTGCACTGTAAAAGAAGTCAAATAGATTTGTCAATAACCTTGCGATATTGAGTATCAATCTCAAGATTGTATGACTACAGAAGATAACTGAATAACAAAACATAAATAATACGTACCATATGAAGTCTTTTTAACTTTAGCCCCAAAAAAGGTCAAATAAAAAACATAATACATGACAAAATACTTGAAAAATGGAAAATAAAAAAAGGCTGATTCGTAAAATAAAAAAAAAAACTGATGGAATAAATTGAAACTGTGGGCAAATATGTAAATCCAATTTCGCCTCGCAAGGACTTTATAAAGGCTTTCCCACGCTTCGAAGTCTGATTAGAGCACTTGGATTGGTTGTCTTGTAATTCAAATAAATAAAGCTCCAGCATTTAGTAATTTCAGAATTATAATCCCAATTGATCTAAAAAGAATAATCAAGCTTATTTTTTTTAGATACCATAGGATCTATGAATATGATGTTGAAGGATTATTATTATGATATTTATATAGCGCCATCAAATTCCGCAGCGCTTTAGAATGGGTGGACGAACAGACATGTAGTTGTCACCAGACAAGTTGGACACACAGGAACAGATGGGTTGAGAGAACTGCTCAGTGAGCTGACATGCTAGAGGGAGTGGGGTAAAATGACACAAAAAGGTAAGGATAGTATTAGATTAGTGACAGTTGCAGAAGAGGAATCAGTCAGGAGCTATTAACAATTTAATGGATATGCTTTTATGAAGAAGTGGGTTTTTAACGATTTTTTTGAAGGAGTGGAGAGTGGGTGAGCATCTAACGGAGGAGGGAAGAAATCTTGCCCTCGAGAAATCTTGAAGGCGAGCATCAGAGGTGGGAGTACGGACAGAAGATAGACGTAAGTCTTCAGCAGATCGTAAGGACCTAGACGGGACATACTTGTGTATAAGGGAGGAAAGATAGGTGGGAGCAGCATTATGTAGCGATTTGAAAGCAAGAACCAGAATTTTAAATTGAGCCATATATCTTACAGGAAGCCAATGTAGGGACTGACAGAAGGGTGAGGCATGGGAGGTGCGGGCGGACAGGAAGATGAGCCTTGCCGCCGCATTCATTATGGACTGTAACGGCGCTAGTTGGGAACACGTAAGACCACTGCGAAGCGGATTACAGTAGTCAAGTAGTCAAGGATTGGAATAATAAGGAAGTTTCATAGTATGAAAGAATTAACATGATAAAATCTTATGTTTTACCTAAATGGATTTATTTGTTCAAGAATCTGCCTTTAAGTTTCCCAGTTCCTTGGCTTGGTTTGGTACAAATAAGGAATTTATTTTATTTTTTTTACATTTAGGAATTTTGTATGGAAAGGCAAAATACCACACATCAGTTCTAGTATACTGTTAAAAGATACTAAAAATGGAGGATTACATTTCACCCATTATTCACCATTACTATGAGGCTAGCATCCTCTATCATGTGAATAAATTGTATAATTCTGGGTTTAAAAATGAAGATTTGTATTATTAGAAGCCAAATAATGCAGATTGTAAGAACTTATCAACATTTATTTGGAAACTAGAAAATTAAAAAACCTCCCGACTTGCAAGAAAAGCTGTATGATTCACAGCCAAATTATACCATTATGGTATAAGTTAAAGAAAAAAAAGTAAATTTAGCAAACAAAATCCCGAGATTTGTCAACATCCAAGTAACAGAAAAAAACCTGGAAAGTGTATCTTTGGGAATACTGGAAGAAAGCAGATATTGAAATTGTAGAGCAACTCGTAGAAAAAAAAGTCCATAAAAACTTTTGGAGATTTACAACACAGATATTGTTTGCCTCCAAAAGAAAGTTTTAATTACATTAGAGTAAAAAGCTTTTTGATGGATCATTTACTAATTAAAAGCAACACATCAAATCAGTGACAGCATTGGAGAACCTTTTTACACAGAAAGATAATTTTAAAAATGCTTGTCAGATGTCTAAAATTAATTAAATTACTATATAAAAAAAAAAAGACGTAACTATCTGGGAAAAAGATCTGAACGTAAATATTGACAATCATGAATGGAATTAATGGAACCTAGCCTATTGTAATTTTACTAAACATATTCACGATCTCTCATTGATAGAAACGCACTTTATGTGCATTAATAGATGGTATTTTGTTCCAACGAGTTTGGCCAGATTATTTCCTGAAAGGAATAACAGGTGGTGGGAGGTAAAGCTATTAACAGTTTCATTGATATACTTTCTTAAAGAATTGAGTTTTTAATTTTCTTTTGAAAGAACTGAAACTGGGTGAGATTATAACGGAAAGGGGCGCAGCCCTAGAGAAGTGTTGAAGGCGGGCATCAGAGGTGAGAGTACGAACAGGGAATAGACGCAGATAAATAATAAGGAGAACTGTATAGGTTCTTTCTTGCCAGGAAATATTAAAAGGAACAGTTGGAGATGTATTTTGTGGATCTACCTTCATTGCTGTCATTGGAAAGTTACCTAAATCAGAGAATAATAATGAAATGATGGACACTGAAGGTTTAGGCGAGAAGTAATTTAATAAGAGTGCCTTAAGGTATTATTAGAGACATTTAAACACTGTGGAAATGTACCTTGATTTTATTACGATGGGCTGTTTGGGCAAACATTAGCGATCCTTGCTAATCTACACCAAGGAGAGAAGGTTGTTGGTTTATCGTTAGTTTAATGTTGCCCCAAAGATATCCGTATATGTTGAAAGGGGCATGGTAAGCCTCATACCTATTGTCAACTGGTGTAGTGTTTATATTGCTATGAGTCTATAGGCAACATAGAGTCAGAGCACCAAACCTAGTATACTAAGTGGTAGTCGGCATGGTGCTTTGAGTGCCAGTTATGGCTCCAGGTTCTGGGGGTAGTTTAAAGAAATGCTCGGAGGCAGGCCACTCAATGAACTAACAGTGTAAGTGCAAGCACTAGTTTACACATTTTGGGGATGTTTCTGCTGTTCAGTAATAGAATGATGGCATCAACCACGAGACACAAGCCCAGGGTGCTTGAAGATGGTTTTCCAAAATGGTTTTATATTTTGGCATTTAATTGTTTTAGGTGAATATGGGTTAGGAATCATCCCCACCTGTTTTACTGATTTTAGATGAAATGCAGAAGGGAAAATGAAGAAGTTTAGATTCCTTTTCGATAGACTTTCCTTTTAGAGATTGTCCTTTTAGCATGAGAGTTCCCTGAATGAATGTTGGCAAACACATTCCTGATATTATTTATACAAAAAAAGCTACATTCACAAGAGTATAGGTGATAAATTAATAAGTTAAACAAATTGGAAAAAACTTCAGCCCATCTAGGTGTCCTTAAATCCTCAACATATAAATACACAATGTATAGCGGGGATCCTGCAAGCGAAGATAAGCAAAGCACAACAGTTTAGGAATCTTCCCAGACTCAGCTCCAGTTTGGACAGTGTAAGAGAAATAGAGTGCAATATCCATCCAGGTTAAAATGCCACACTGTGCCAATCAACATCTCCTCATAGAGATGTGTTGAATCACTCTCTGCATGGAGATGCTGAATGTTCCTCATAGAGATGCACTGATTCAATGTATGTCAATGAGGAGATGCTGATTGGTTCAGGGTGCCATTTTGCCATGCATGTGCAATAGCCTCCCAGTGATTCCCAATTGGAAAGCGTTGGTTTGCTGAGATCGTCATATTTGATAAACTCAGTCAAGGAGGTAGACCTAACCACGGCAAAACCGGAGCAACCCTGAAAATAAGGTGAGTTTAACACCGACACTCTTAAAACAATAATGCCGGGAATACATTTGTAGCCCAGACACTAAATTCACATTTAATTTAAGATTTATTTGCCTAAACAACTTTGAAACAAACCCAGTTGTTGCATAACTGAAATTCAGATGAATCAAGAATAAATAGAAACAAATAATTCTGATAAACCAAATTTTTCTTTCATGTCCAAATCAATTTGACAGAGAGAGACAGAGAGAGACAGACAGAGAGACAGACAGAGAGAGAGACAGACAGAGAGACAGACAGAGAGAGAGACAGAGAGAGAGAGACAGAGAGAGACAGAGAGAGACAGAGAGAGAGAATGAAAGAAGAAGTTGACTGATGATACGTTTTGACTTGTTATTTATTTACCTGAATGTATCGCCTTTTATATTCAATGATCAGGGGACCGCCAGTATCTCCTGTATGAAGTGTATACAATGGAGCATGGTAAGTGTTGGGGTGTAAGAGAGATTCAGACAAATCAGGAAAGGCAGAAATAGTATGTAATAAACATGAGATTGGAAAGAACTAATGTAGTGAATGGTTCACAGGAAACATGGGTTTCTAATGAAAAAGAATGTACAACATGAAGGGACTGAGAACACAATTAATTTCCTAGCAAAATATGTAGACAAAAAGAGGAAGCAATGAAATAATATATATGTAGAATTATGTGAAATAGAAGGCGTTACCTTTACATGTGGAGGGTTCAACATAAGGCTCTGTCCCCCCTGTGCAGAGGAACTGATCAGTCACCAGGTCACGAATATCAGCTATATCCTCGAACTCCTTGACTTGTTCTGTAGCTCGGAGGCAGGCCAACCTCTGTGGGATGATACAGTGTAAATGGAGGGTACAAAACAACATGTTCAAAGAAAAGGATTAGAAAACTAAATAAGTGATCCTGATCAAACCTTCCAAAGTGTCCTGTAAGAGTTGGCCTAAAAATTACAATTATTTATATTATAACATATTATCCTACAAATATGTGGCTGATAAATTAGAGACTAAAGAATCCTTTACGTAAACAAGTGCGTTAACGCTGTACTTACCGCATCTCCTGTCTTTATAGTCACGTGCTTCTGCTCCATTAATTTCTTGTCTTCCTCCGCTATAAAGAGTGAATTGATCAATTTTCCCTTAAATAAAAAGTCCTCTGTGGAAAAAGGATTTTTATTAGTCAATGATCTGACACCATTTCATCTTAGCTACTTAGCTGCTTCTGATCTCCTTTGTTCAATCACTATGTTCCTGTTCTCCATCCTCCTTTATTCAATCACTGTGTTCCTGTTCTCCATCCTCCTTTATTCAATCACTATGTTCCTGTTCCCCATTCTCCTTTATTCAATCACTATGCCCCTGGTCTCCATTCTCCTTTATTCAATCACTGTGTTCCTGTTCTATATCCTCCTTTATTCAATCACTATGTTCCTGTTCTATATCCTCCTTTATTCAATCACTATGTTCCTGTTCTCCATCCTCCTTTATTCAATCACTGTGTTCCTGTTCTATATCCTCCTTTATTCAATCATTATGTTCCTGTTCTATATCCTCCTTTATTCAATCACTATGTTCCTGTTCTCCATCCTCCTTTATTCAATCACTATGTTCCTGTTCTCCATTCTCCTTTATTCAATCACTATGTTCCTGTTCTATATCCTCCTTTATTCAATCACTATGTTCCTGTTCTCCATCCTTTTGGAGAGTGCTACTTTTTTTTACTGTATTACGCTATGTGTGGTGTGTTTATAAATTTTCTAGATTGATGTAAATGTATTTTTCCACTGGATTTGCACATATCCATATTTCCTCTTTAAGGCTATTTTTTTTATTTACAAATATGTTTTATTTTTTTCCTCCTTTTTTCTTTTTATATTAGATATTTTTGTGGTGTTGCTGTGAGGTACACCTTGGAGGATAACCTTTTTCACATTTTTTTTACATACTGTGAACAGTATGTAAACAGGTTTTTGGTGTTGCAAAATAGCTACTAAATTTATTTTGTACACTTCTTACACATACTCACAAAATGCAGCTATGCGGTCCATGGACTTTTCAAGCTGCATGTGATTTCGAAAATTATAATATAAATAATATTGGAAACCATTCTGCCACTTTCTCCCACTTTATATAATATATATTTGGTTTGTCTTGTGACGACTGTGTTTTGCCAAGGTTCTTTATGAGTTAAAGCAACACTGCCACCTTTTGGGGATTTTGCCAAATAAGTAAAGTCCCCCAAAGGTGACATCACTGTTGGTGGTCTGGTGGCCGGAGAGTGCGGGTAAAGGTGAGTTTACCTACCTAAATCTGTCCCTCGCAGGTGCCACAATTTTTATCTGGCAGGGATCTCTTCAGCGCCAAAGTCACTGCTGTACTATTATGCATAAAAGATGGCTGGATCCTCCACAGACACATCCAATTCCCTGCAGCAGTAACCAGTGATGGCTGTTGGAATTGACTCTGTGTGTCTTCACCTAGTGTCTAAGAATGTTAGGCGGAGGAGGAATACGGAGTCAAACTAGTCTCTACTTGGTCTCTGTATGTCTCTTGATTTCATACATAGTGACAGTGCCACTTTCATACGAGGCTTAATGTGGAACAGAGCAAGTATTTCATAGTCTGTGATTTCAAACAATGTAATGGAGAGGCTAACATGTTGCACAGTAGATACAGCACAACACAGAGGTGTAACTAGAAACCATAGGGCCAAGGTGCAAAAATTACTGTGGAGTATAAGAATGGTCTTATCCACCACCAGCCCCTACATGTGTCTCACCCCTGTCAAACCCCTCCATGTGTCTCATTCTCCCCCAGAGCTCCTCCATGTGTCTCATTCTCCCCCAGATCTCCTCCATGTGTCTCAATCTCCCCCAGTGCTCTTCATGTTTCTCCTTCTTCCCTCGCCACTCCATGTGTCTCATTCTTCACCAACCCCTCCATTTGTCTCACTCATCCCCCAGCAGGGGTCAAGTCCTGGGGAATAAAGTGTGGGAACTCTCCCAAGATCCCCCCTGACCCCCCCCCCAAAAAATATACACTTTTATATATACATATATACACACACACATACACGCGTGCACACACAGACACACATACTCAGACATCCACACATACACTCACAGACACACATACGCAGACACACACACACTCACAGAAACACATACACACACACATACACTCACAGACACACATACTCAGACACATACATTCACAGACACACACACATACACTCACAGACAGGGCCGGCGCGTCCATAAGGCGGTACAGGCGGCTGCCTTAGGGCGCACCGGCTCTGGGGGCGCAAAATTCCAGTGACCGGCAGGAGGGAAATGCTCCCTCCTGCCAGGTTACCTTCTGGATCCCTGGCGCAGCGTGACCCTGAATTGGATTCCGAGGTGGCGAAGGAGCTCTGATCTTTCTGATCTGCTCCCTCGCAGGCTGTTTACTGATGACGTCATATTCCGGCTCCCGCGGCATCAGTAAACCGCCTGCGAGGGAGCAGATCAGAGAGATCAGAGCTCCCTCGCCACCTCGGAATCCAATTCAGCCGCACGCCTCCCAGCAGCCCCACTGGACCACCAATGAGAGACCCACGCCAGCTCTCCAGGTAGGGAGGCTGGGTGGGAAATTTTTATTTAATTTAGATTATTAATTACTGTGAGTGTGTGTGTGCATGTGAGTATGTGTGTCTGTCAGTGTGTGTGTGAGTGAGTGTGTCTGTCAGTGTGTGTGTGTGTGAGTGTGTCTGTCAGTGTGTGTGTGAGTGAGTGAGTGTGTCTGTCAGTGTGTGTGTGTGTGTCTGTCAGTGTGTGTGTGTGCATGTGAATATGTGTGTGTGTGTGGTTCTGTCAGTGTATATGTGTGAGTGAGTGTGTCTGTCAGTGTGTGTGTGAGTGAGTGTGTCTGTCAGTATGTGCGTGTGTGCATGTGAGTACGTGTGTCTGTCAGTGTCTGTGAGTTTGTGTGTGTGTGTGTGTCAGTGTGTGTTTGTCAATGAGTCTGTCAGTGTTTGTGTGTCTGTCAGTGTGCGTGTGAGTGTCTGTCAATGAATGAGTGTGTCAGATAAGTGAGTCTGGCTGTCAGAGATGTCTGTGTGTTTGTCATTGAGTGTGTGTGACTGTCAGTGTTTCTACACCCCTGACTGTAGCGTGGCCAAGCGGAGTGTACCGTGGTACAGGAACTTCTGTTTCCTGTACCTAGCAGGACTGACAGGAAAAGCTCACTGTACCGGGATTCGCTCCGCTCAGCCACGCTACAAGAAAGGTAGGAGGCACACCAGGAAGGGGAGGGGACCACTATGGGGGTGGGTGGTGCACCAAGGGACAGGGAGAGGAGGGGAGAGATACCCTAAGGTACAGGAAAAGGAGGGAGGGGGGGAGAGGAACACTAAGCGACAGGGAACAGAGGGGGGAGGGGAGAGGAACACTAAGGGACAGGGAAAGGAGGGGAGAGGGGAGAGGAACAGTAAGGGTCAGAGAAGGGAGGGGACCATTAAGGGACAGGGAGAGGGGCTGGATGTAAAAGAAACACACTGCGGGGCTTGAGAAGGAAAGAGACACACAAAGGAGCTGGGAAGAATAAAAGACACAAAGGGGCTGGGAGAAAAGGAGTCACACAAAGGGGCTGGGAGGAGTAAGACACAAAATGTGGGAGGATGTAAGAGTCATACAAAGAGGAGAGATAGGAGACACACAAAGGCAAAGGGAGTCAGATATTTAAAAGACGGGATAAGAAACACAAAAGGGAGGTTAAGAGGCACATGGGTGAAGATGTTTTTGGTGGGGGCGGAAAAATGCATCTTCGCCTATGTACCCAAAATTCTTTGCACCGGCCCTGCTCACAGACATACTCAGACACACACACATACATTCACAGACACATACTCAGACACTCACACACACACAGATTTTTTTTTTTTTTTTAACTAAAAAATATCCACCTAGCCTCCCTACCCAGAGAGCTGGTGTGAACCTGTCCCTGGGGTCTAGTGGGGTGGGCGTCTGTCTCCCTGTCAGACGCGGCGAGGGAGGTGTGTTCTCTCTGCTCCCTCACGCAGCGCAGGCTGTCTGCTGATGCTGGGAGTCGGAATATGACGTCATATTCCAGCTCCCAGCATCAGCAAACGGCGCGCGGTGAGAGGGAGCAGAGAGAACACAGCTCCCTTGCCGCATCAGACAGGGTGAGAGACACCCGCGGGGGGTCCATCAGGTGGCCATTAGGCCACTTCTTGGGCCCCCCATGACATGGGGGAGCACTTGGGGGTGGCATAAAACAGCGTTCAAGTGCAGAAACACCTGCAGGACTCGAGCCCTGCCCCCCAGCCACTCCATGTTTGCCTCTGGGGGTCTCATTCTCCCTCAGAGGTCCTCTAAGTGTCTCAACCTCCCCTCCCTCTCGTTCTTCAACTTCCCCTCAAGGTGTCTCATTCTCATCCCCAACCCCTCCTTGTGTCTCATTATCCTTCACATGCCTCATGCTCCTCTTTAGCTCCTCCTTGTGTCTCATCCAACCCAAGTCCCTCCATGTGTCTCATTCCTTCCAAGGCCCTACATGTGTCTCATTCTCCCCATCCCCATGCCAACCATGTGACTCATTTTGCCCTCCAGGTCCTCCGTGCGTCTCATTCTCCACCAGGCCCTATTTTTGTTTCATCCCCTCCATCCATTCAATGTGACTCCTTCACCCATCCCTCCACATGTCTCATTTCCCCCCCAGCTCCTCCATGTGTTTCATTCTCCTCCCCCATCTCCTCTATTTGTCTCATCCCGCCTCCTGAGGCCCTACATGTGTCTCATTCTCACCCCAGTCCCTTCATGTGTCTCATCCCCCCTCATCCCCTCCATGTGACTCGTTCTCCTCCTCCATATGTCTCATTCCCCTTAGGCCCGTGTGTCTCATTCTATTTGCCAGCTCCTTTATGTGTCTCATCCTACCCCAAGCCCCATGTTGTCCATGTGTCCAGGAACTGCACACCCCTGGCCAGTGGGGCTGAGCACTGAGCGTGACATCTGCTTGGCTAGTCCGGCCCTGTGCATTAGCAGGGGTTGACAGGGCAACCTGGCCCCCTGGAGTGACGGGCCTAGTCGCAGCTGCGACCCCTGAAATCATGGTAGTTCCTCCACTGGCCTGATTTCTTTAAAAGGATCTCTGCTGCTCTCTAACCTGGCTGTTGATGAATAGGAAATCTTCCGACCTAGTTCGAGAAGTGCGATATCATAGTCAAATGTATTTTTTATGCTTTTATCCTTCTTGGCATTTCGGTCAAACTGAGGATGTCGGTAAAGGTTTTTGACAGGCAGGCTTTCTGTAAAACAGAAAACAAAGAACATGTGTGAGAAAGAAGGAAAGATACCAAAGTGGAGACTCGTGCATGTCAGCTCAAAGCCAATGTACCCAGCTCTTTTTCACTTTCTAATACCTTTGTCCTCTTTGCTTCCAGTCCCCTGAGTGTCCAGTATCCTAGCAGTGATCTGAAGCCGCCACCACCCTGCAATCTGTAGTGCAATCGTACCTATAATGCAAGATAAATGGCTGCCTTTTGACAAGTTCACCCTTGCAAACCCTTTAAAGGGATACTATAGTCACCCAGACCACTTCAGTTCAATTAAGTGGTCTGGGTGCCAGGTCCCTCAGGTTTTAACCCTTCAGACGCAAACATAGCAGTTTCAGAGAAACTGCTATGTTTGCATTTGGGGTTAAGCCAGCCTCTAGTGGCTGTCTTCCGGACATTGACAGCTTGACGTTGGCAGTGGGAGCTGACATCGGCGGGGGAGGAGAGGTCACCAGCACCGAGGTAGCCCAGCGCTGGAATAAGGTAAGCTGCTGAAGGGGTTTTAACCCTTAGGGCACTATATTGTCAGAAACATCGCTTTTTTTCCTGACACTATAGTAATCCTTTAATTTCATACTTCAGACTGCCATAACCATCTATAAAGATCCATTGCTGGCATGGAATGTTTCACCTATTTATATGATCGATGAAGATCTAAGATTTCTATGGAACTCTGCTCTTGATAAATTAGTGGAGTTTTCTATTTCCATAGGAGCAGACTACATTATTATGATTGAAATATTCCGGCTCTTAATGGGGTGGATTAGCCCAATGTTCTCAGACTTTCAATTCTGTCCATGTTTAATGGAATGGATAATTGTAATATGGAATTATCAATGCGGCTGGAGAGTGAGCTGGCTATAGGTGTCAGGAGAGGCAGTTAAATGTGTGACACAGCCATAGTGGTCATGATGGTTAAAGTGCCCCCTGTTTATCAGGCAAAATAGAACAACATGTGGCTCAATAAATAAAAAGTGAAATTAATTTATTTTTAATGTAGGAAACAACTACTGAATTATTAAAAGAGAGGAGCCAATTAAACAAATCTTCCTAGATAGGCAGTAATCCTAACATATTAATTGACAAAAGAAGAAGGACAGGAGGATTCGGAATATTTGCTAGACAAAAGGTAGAATAGCGGAAGTTAGACTGTTCCTCAATCTGACAGGAGACTAATGACATATAACTAGATCAGAGAATAAAAGGGTAATAGCTACCCATACAGTACCAAACAAAAATAGCCAAAAAAGAGACATTTTCGTAAATATGAATTTTATCGACGAAAATGCAGATGTTTACAAGCGTGCAGATTTGGTGAGGAGACACGCAGGTCTCATGCATAATGTTATATATCAATGCATCTAGTTTGACATCATGTTCCTACTCCCACAGGGCTCGCAGGCCTCGTTTTCATTAGGTCGTGTTTCGGCACGTTTGCCTGCTTCCTCTCATCCCGTTCTCCTTCCTGCTGTAATTCCCCCTTCCTGATTTGTGTTCCTGTGCTCAGGGTGTTGTGCATCTTCTGGTGGGGTCGGTAGGATTATCTGGCTATACCCTGGAAAACTCTGTGCCCTAAGTCCCCTGGGTTCCCGTGTTTATTGGAGTCTTGGGGATCGTGGGGGATAGTCGTACCAACCTAGATGTCAGTATTGTGTGTTCCTTTTATGCATTTATATTTTTGATATCTGTTCGCTGGACCATGTTCCTAGCGATTCGCTAGGTTTCTCCTGAGTCCTGCGGTCTCCCTCTCCACGTCTCTGTCGTCTAAGAGTATGTGTTCGTTATTGCCTCCATCTAGTTTGCAATTTTCCTGATGGTTATTGTTCAAGTGGTATGTAGTGGTCGCATGTGTGGCCTTTTCTAATTGTTGTGTGTTTTGCCTATGTGAGTTCCTTGCTCGTGGAGGTAGGTGGAACCTTGTGTTTGTTCGGTCTAGTGTTGGTGCGGTTGTCTCCCGGTTTCATTTCCTGTGTCGATCGGTGTATGTCTGTGGGTATCTGTCCCTCCATCTATACATGTGGTGGTGGTGTATCGTGTGGCCCAGCCAGTAGTGAAGTCCCATGTTTCCCCTGTGTAAGGAAGTGAAATGGTTAACTCTTTTTGCTTTATATGCTTTAAAATAATGTTTGAAATAATTATGCTGACTTTGGCAGATGTATTTTGTACCAAGGTCTTTCCTCTACAGGATGTATGACCTTCCTTGACCTTAGGATGTTCCTGTCTCGTCTTCATCCAAATGCTTATCTTTTTCATGTCCGACAAGTATGTACTATTAACCACAAGGACACTATAGATCTCACTGCTTGCATGACAAACTGTGTATAAATGCTAGCCCTGAAAATATACTCATTGAGAACTTGTTGAGCACTCTTTCGTGTCTGTGTGTCTTATTTTCCAATCAAGATCTCCCATCAATTGATGTGGTGACGGGGGATCGAGAATCGAGGGGAGTTGAGTCCAGAACAGCATTTATCCTTTCAGCTTGGTGTCAGAAGTGGGATCAGCAAAACCATTGGGTGAGTAGCCTTTTTGTGTCTTATTGACGCTAATTGTCTATGACCCCCTTTGGTTTAGTAAGTCTGTATCCAGTAGAAAGGAAAGGTATAAGGACTTAGTTATATTGAGACTGTAAATAGGTCTCCGGTTTATTAGACATTTGGTCTAAATATATATAGGGTTTTGGTAACCCAGGTTAGTATCTAAGATAGATACAGGGTATCTCAGGTAGATACAGGTTTTGAGACTATAAAGGAGTCTCCGGTTTATTAATACTATAAGTGTTCTAGGGAACACGGTTCATAGATCTAGAATAACCCAAACTTCTCGTTCCTTTGGTCACCCTGTGTCTGCTTTGTGTTTATTTTGCTTTTTAAGTAGAGACACACTATTGGTAAGTAGGTAGTGTCTCTACCCTGAGCCAGAAATATGGGAAATAATCAGTCTATTTCTTACCCTTTACCCCACCCAGGGGAGCCATGTCTAAATTATGTTACTAGAATAGGAGCACAAGGAGGATTTCTTACAATCCCCTTTGTGTCAAATTTAGCAGGATGGACAGAGACTATGAAGTCATCTGATCCTTTTCCCAGGTCTGGGGCTAATGATGATTTTCATATGAATATGATTCGAGGATTGTGTTTGGGAGATAGGAAGTCATGGCCGTGATATGGTCCTGATCCAGATTGGGATAAGGAATATATGAAAGCAGGAGGTGAAAATTGGTTGCTGATAGCCCCTCATTGGTTTCCTTGTAGTGTAACAGGAAAGGTTTTAAAGGGAGCTAAGAAACACCTGGCTAAGAGAAAGGGAACTGTTGACAGTAATACTATTTGCTTTTCTATAGAAGCCCCTCCTGATAATCTATATCCACCACCAACTGTGACCCCTACCCAGTTAGCCCCCGGCCATGCCCAACCACAACCCCCACCTCCCTCAGAGGATGATATAGAGGATATTTCTGTTGCTGCAGCTGTTAATTCACAATCACAGCAATTACAGGAATCATCATCTACACCAGATTCTGATATAGAATACCCACTGCCACCTCCTGGTACAGTTAAATTAACAGTACAAACAGGAGTTAAACTTAAAAGTGGCAAGGTGTTAAAATCATATGTACATAAGCAAGATGATGATGATGTAGAGATGCCAGAATTAGAAGGTGCTGATCTTACTGCCCCGTTTATGACTGTTGGTAATCAGTTAATAATGAAACCCATTAATCCCGGAGTACTCAAGGATATTATTCAAGGTGCCCCAAACCCCCGTACTAATCCCTCTGCATGCCTAATGTATCTGAAAAGAATGTGTTTAGGACAGAACATGACACAGATAGACATACAGTTAATTATAAATGGAATATTAGGGTATGATTCAGATTCTGGTTGGAATTGGTCTAATGTACCCTCTATCAGTGAGACAGACAACGGTACTGGAGTTGGAGTGGCTGGCAGTGATGGTGTTTATGAGCTTAGTACTTCAGCAGGATGTGCTAAAATGTGGGATGAGGTGGAAGCTGAAATGTTGAGATTATGGAAGAATAAGCAGTCTATATCCACTGCTTTGGCATGTAAGCAAGGTGCAAAGGAAGAGATTGGTGTTTTTGTAAAGAGATTTTACAAGTGTTGGAAGGATGAGGCAGGTTTGAAGTCTGGAGATGATATGGATCTCCTTAAAATACAGTCATGCCTTGGTAATATGTTGCCACAGTATTCTTTGCTTGTGAAACAGTTGATTTCAGACTGGGCCAATTTGGGTGGCTCAGATTTTCTTACCAAGGTTATTGAGAAGGAAAATGCAGGTTGTTTTGATTTAAGAAAAGATTCAGGAAGTAAGGTTGCTTATTATGCTCAGGGATTGCAACACTGTCCACCTACACAGGCCCGAGAGAGAGGATGGGATGGAGCACATAGAGCCTGTGGAAGGGGTGGTCAAAGAGGGGCAAGGGGATGGAGACAGGTAAATCAGGGTTATAGGGGCAGGGGTAACCAAGGAGGAATAGACAGGAACACTTGTTTCAACTGTGGCCAGCATGGTCACTGGAGGAATTAGTGTCCACACCCCAGGAAACCCCAGCAGCCCCAACAACCCCACAATTATCAAAATACGCCCGGTAGGCAAGAACAACACCAGGCCCACTCCCAACACCACTGGCCAGCACTTCCCTCTTCCCCCCCTCCAGCAAACCCAAACTGCATTAGGGCCATTCACAGGTACCACTGACCAGCACACCCATCACATCCCATGGCCCCAATAGGGCTGCCTTGAAGGTGACACTCCAACTTTTCCACTTTTGTCCTCTACTAATGATGATCAGCCTTTTTGTATTCTGGTCATAGAAGGTAGATCCTTGCCATTTTTGGTAGATACTGGAGCTACGTGTTCCAGTCTCTGTGATACCTATTATCAGGGGACAAGGGAAAAGTCTTCACCTTCATTGGGTATTAATGGAGTGTCAACCCCCACTTTTGTCACACCACCACTGTCTGTTTTTTGTCCTCTTAATGGTTCTTCTACCGTGCACCCTTTTCGTTTAATATCTAAATGTCCTGTCAATTTGCTGGGAAGGGATCTTCTTGGTATTCTGGGAGCTACTATTATTTGCACGCCCTCTGGTGGTATTGATGTGTCTATGTTGTGTTCTGAAACTATTGATTTGTCTGATGTTCCTTCTTCTGTGTGGGCTTCATCTAAGTTAGATGTAGGATTTGTCAACTGCACCCCTTACAAAGCCAAACTAAAACCAGCTGTTTTATCTTTATCAGTCAGGCCCATGGTCCTGGCCACAAGAGCATAGCAAGTACCATCCAATTCCTCATGAATTCATTTTATATTAGGAATCTCAGGCAGCATGTACAGTCTTTTGTTAGATTGTGTGAACCATGTATGAGAACACATCCGAATATTCCACACAAATCACAGCACGAACATTTGCCCCCTCCAGCTGCTCCTTTTACACACTTACAGATTGATTTTACTCATGTACCCAAAATTGGTAAGAAACAGCAATACTTACTGGTCATAGTTGATCAGTTTAGTAGATGGCCTGAGGCCTTTGTGACATCTAGGGAGGATGCTAGGACGGTAGTGAAGATTCTTGCTACTGAAATTATTCCCAGGTATGGCTGCCCTCTGCAGATTAACTCTGATAATGGCCCGGCTTTTACTAGTAAGGTTACCCAGGAACTTGCTAAATTCTTGCAAGTTACCTGGAAGTTTCATATACCCTATCATCCACAGAGTTCAGGGGTAGTTGAAAGGATGAATAGGACCATTAAGGAGAAGCTTATGAAAGCTACTGCAGGAACATGGGTAAATTGGACAAAATATCTTCCAGCTATTTTAGCTGAGATAAGAATGACTCCTCACAAGGTGACTAAATTATCTCCATTTGAGATTCTGATGGGACGACCTTTTCCCACACCCTGGGCCAGGGAACCGCTTGTTATAATGTCTGGGGATTTACAGCTAATACAAGAACAATATGTACAGGAATTGTTGATAAAACTGAATGGTATATATGGCAATGTTTCTTCGCAGTTTCCCTTACCTTCACAGGAACCTACTCATCCATACCAGCCTGGTGACAAGGTGTATATCCGTCAGCTGAATAGGACCAAGAAAGGAGGATACCCTTTCGGACCACCTGCTACTGTGATTGCTGTAACCAGAACCGCTGTCCTCACAGATTCCCACGACATCTGGATTCACGCATCCCGAGTGAAGCTGTGTCCAAAGAGGGGAACCAAGGAAGACAACACCACTCCTCACTCGGAAAGAGAAGAATTTCCCCTTAGCGAAGCATCATGGCTTTCACACCATATCGTAGATTGAGAGGATCATACGAACCTGAGACCAAGATTATGTTGTGCGCTATGCTTTCTGGAGTTGTTATACTCCCTCTGATATTATTCCTTGAATGCCATTATGAGTACAAGTCAATGGGAAGTTTGAAACCTGTTTGTTTCTGGAGAAATGACTCTGACATGATGAACAATTCTTCAATACCCCCAGCCCAATTAGGCCTTAGCCCCTCATCTAGCACTCGTCACACACGCTCCCTCAAGAACCTTTCTCCACCACCTATCTATCAGCATGTAATATGCAAGCACTCATTGACTGAACACATATGGATGAACTGGATAAATAATAACCCTTACAAGTACCAGTTACCCATATGGAATGTGTCCACAGCTAATGAAACCGATGCATTATGTTTGTTTGAAGGTTCACGGAAAATTGTTAGATCTTATAACGCAGAAATGTGCACAGTTAAGGTTGCTAATTACACCAGCATCTGTGCCACCTTATTTAATATAAGTTCTGATGGTAAAAAAAAAAACACCTAAACAGGTTTGGGATATATATTATAAGAAAATTAGTAAGGTTGCATATCAATGTAAACAGACAGGCCTTATTATTTTTAATAATGATTATACAACTGGTACCATTAATTGGAAAAGGGGACAAATGTTAGTCATTATGAACGACACTACGATTGAGAACTGTACACTATCTTATATTTTTACACCTTATTACTGTCCTTCATCCACTATCATAGAACCAAAAGTCAACCACGACACACACACACCTATTCCGTCCACATGTGTTAATACAACTGCCTTCTTACAAGCTGTACATGTGTCATTAAAAATCACTACTCCTGTTGTAACAATATGTAACACAGCAAACAAAAGGCAGAAAAGGGAATGGTATGACACACTGTTAGGAGGCGCTGGAACCACTATGGGTATACTAAATAGTATAGACATGGAGACCCTCAAGAATAAGTTAAACACGGCCAGCATGCATATAGGGACTGGTTTCCATGCTATTGCAAACTGGGCTCCAATTGTTGTTAAATCACAGGTTACAGGATTGGATTTAGATACATCAATGTATAACTATTTAGGTAATTTAACTGTTGCAACTATGAAATTCACTACAGATCTTGGTAACTGGAGTACTTGTGCCATCAGGTATTTATGGATGCAACAACAAAGACTGGCATTAGAATACACACTAATGATTCCTAAACTAGAGAAGATTAGAGGGATGCTTGACCTCACAGATAATGAATGGTTACTTCTAAAACCCTAATCCACTAAATGCAATGAATGGTTAACTGGTAATGTTTCACATTTTTCATGCTCATGCTATTTTACACTATATCATACATCATCAAAGGATGTTAAATTAGCTTGTCAATTTAACACATTACCTGTACCAGTTTATGATCTCTTTACCAGGAATTTAACCTGGTGGGCACCCACATACACAGGGGACTATATTTTCCCCAAAGATAATATGACCTATTCCCTTAAACACTGTGTTCTCACTGACAAAGGATATGCATGTCGACACTCGTCCCCTATTTATGAACCATGCTTACTCCAAAATGAACTTAACAAGTGCATATGGCACATATATCCTGAAAATTATTTTACCATGACTGAAATAAGCACACGACATATCTGTTTGGCAACTAACCTCCCTACAAAGATAATTACTAGTAATACAATTATTAATCTACCTCTTCCCTTTTCAGGATGTTTGACTAATGTTACCTGGTTAGATCTTAATGACACCCAATATTATTTCAGCAACACAATCACTTTAGACAAACATATTAATGCCCTATTAGGCTCTCTGCCTTTTAAAGATTACCATCTACCTCTTGAGACTATTGTCTCCTTAATGAAAGGAAAACAAAATATGTTTAAACATCTTGTTACACATAATGATGCTATAGTACACACACAGGTAGCCACACATATCCTAAAAGGAGAACTCCTTAAGGTGAGTTCACAAATTCAGAATGATTTAGCCCATCATTGGTACGATGCTTTTACAGGTTGGTCCCCTACTGGATCCCAGATAATGAAATCATTCTTCTATCCTCTTGTTATTATAGTCCTGATTGTATTGGGTATGATTTTATATAACTGCCATCTTACTTGTACATTGAGGAAGAGAATACAGAAATTAATCCATAATGCAGAACAGAAACAATTGGAAATTCTCCTCTCTGCCACTGGAGGCTATCAACCCATCTTTAAAACTGGGCCTTAGGAATTACCACATGGGAATCGAGGTGAAGAAATTAATGAAAGTCCCGCAGGGAGTGACTAGCACCCCTGAAAATACCATGTGGAAGTTTCTCTGACCTGGGAAGATCTTATCAATGATATGAGCAAATTAATTGCTCAAAGAGGGGGATGTAAGGAAGTGAAATGGTTAACTCTTTTTGCTTTATATGCTTTAAAATAATGTTTGAAATAATTATGCTGACTTTGGCAGATGTATTTTGTACCAAGGTCTTTCCTCTACAGGATGTATGACCTTCCTTGACCTTAGGATGTTCCTGTCTCGTCTTCATCCAAATGCTTATCTTTTTCATGTCCGACAAGTATGTACTATTAACCACAAGGACACTATAGATCTCACTGCTTGCATGACAAACTGTGTATAAATGCTAGCCCTGAAAATATACTCATTGAGAACTTGTTGAGCACTCTTTCGTGTCTGTGTGTCTTATTTTCCAATCAAGATCTCCCATCAATTGATGTGGTGACGGGGGATCGAGAATCGAGGGGAGTTGAGTCCAGAACAGCATTTATCCTTTCACCCTGTTGTGTTGTTGCTTTGTATCTTCTCTTGTCCGTGGCGGCTCTCCGCCTTTCTGGGAGAATTCCCCTTTTGTGTATCATTTAACCCCACTTGTCACCTCCTGATCCCCAGCGATATCGTGGGTTTCGCTCGTCTCCTGCTCCACAGCGTTGTCAGGGGCACCGCCCCTACTTGTGTCTTGCTCTGGATCGTGTTTGTGTTTGTGTGTTGTCTCTGGTTGTGTCGGTGAGGGGAGGGGAAGGGGGAGTATAGGTGGGGGCAGTTGGTGTGGGAGGGGGGGTAGTAAGGCTGACAGTGGCAGGATGCACCGTTAGTTAGAGGACGATACTGTTGCCAAATATTGTGTAACACTGTATCTGTTTTACTATCTAGTATCCATTTGAAAATTGCACTAGTAGTAAAGGGGGAGAAACCAAGGAGTGCTTCCCATAATAGTCCTAGGTTATGTTATCCCTATTGTGCCTTCGAGGACACCCCTTAATAAAAATGCTATCCCTAAGATACTAGTGAGTAGTACAATGACAAGCAACTGCTTGTAATTGTATTGACACCTTTGGTATAACTGCAGTGTCCCGTTCATCAGTGCAGGCAAAGATAATCAGGTTGCAGCATTCCTACTTCATTGTTAATGGTGTGTCCCGGTCGACGTGTAGCTAATGAAAGCTATTGAGCCTCTGATGCGCGTTTCACATGTCGGCTCATCAGATGGGAACCAGACTGTGTGCTTTGCCCGGTACAAAAACCATATCACGGATTCAGTTTGAATGGTCCAATCAGCAGTTTGAATGGAAACCAATTATTTTCATTGACAAAAAAAGCAAGAATTATAAAATCACATCCAATGTTTGTTGAAATGACCTGGTAGAGTTTTATTAGGTTCTGGTAATTTTCCCTTGACAATGTGCAGAGAAAATAAAATACCGACATGCAAAATTGCCTCCAATTTATCATTGAGATTTTGTACCTTGTTGTTAAGCAGAAAACCTATACTATCATTGACTATTTTAATGACTTTAATGTGATAGAAGTTTATTTGCTAAAGTGTATATTGTGTTGGGCCAAAAAAAATGGAAACCTAAACATTTTTATTTTCCAAACTGGCTATTCACTCTGAATTTCCGATACATTACACTTTATAGAATAAACCTGATTGTGTCTATTAATGGTCCTGATATAAACCCATGTTAGCAGTTGTTTCTGACTGTATGTTGGCATGCTGAATGGTGGACAAAGAATGGGCACTCACCATTTCGAACTTGCACTCTAATATGCTTTGTGTCTTCATCAAGATGGAAGCAGTGCGCAGCCGTCAGGATAAAGTTTTTGGTCAAAATTGATCCTTTGCAAAACTCTTGTGTCCCAGGATGCTAGAGGACGATAGAGGATAAAATATAAAAAGAATGTATGGTCATCAGTAAGTTCAATAATGTCTTTCAGTCTGTCAGTAAGAAGTCTAATGTCTGTCAGCATAAGGGTGAACAGCGTAACGTCAGCGTCAGCAATGTCAATTTTGTCCAAATTTTAATGGTAACGATTGGCTGAGACTGTCGCTCAGCTGGTAAGTTATACATGGATTTTTTTTTTTTTTAATAAAATGATTTTTAACAACTGTAACTCAATACACAGAAAAAGGCTATTAAATAAGGGTCTTTACGGTTTAAGTTATATATTAGTTATATTAAATAAAAAATGTTTCTATTTTGTATTTGATTTATACCAGTTCTCGAAAAACAGTACACAAAAATTCTTACAAAGATGTTAAAGTATTACAATCATCATGAGTTAATGTTGAAATATATGAGAGATGGCAAGTGTGTGGGTTAGAGATTTACCTAGGTTACCCAGGCGGCAATGTACTTTGGCATCCCACCATATGTAGATTTGTTGTGTGTGTCTCTCTTTCATATACATCTACAAGGACACATATATGCACACACAAGGCCATACACTCATGCATTCATATACACAGACCTAATTTTCATTTCATTTTCACTTTATATATATTTTTCTCCCAGTGATGTCAACCCAGCCTCACTATTCTTACCGTAAAATGAACTGGAGCGGAAGCTCATCCCTAGGGTCCAGTGGGTTGCTGTTGGGATCTCTGTACTTATTGCCCAGCTCCCTGTAGCTCTGTACTGATGCCGGGGCTGCAGTAACGTGACATCCCAGCTCCCAGCATCAGGTGTGGGGAGAGACATATCAGTACACAGTAATCCTAGCAGCCCCTCACTATCTGCTCTGCAACCACATACAACAGCCACATAGAAGGCACCCTCTGTGCAGCATCCCCAGCGGCACTCATTGGGGCGGGAGGGGGTGCTCTGAGCACGGCGCTCTGGTTAGAACATCACTGGTGTTGGTTATTAAATGACATTTGTAGAGATATCTGTATGTTAGTGCATGATTTCTCCAGGATACCTACAGTTATGGTGATTTTAGCAATCCAAGGGAACTTTTCGTTGACAAGAGTTTTGCGTGTTCTATAATCAGTATTTGGATCATTAAAAACTTCATCTATAACCTCTTTGTTGAGTCCGCACATATCCATAGCATCTGTCTCATCTGGGGGAGAAAGTGTCATCATTAGTGGGAGGATGGTCAATGACAGACTGTAGCAATGAAGAAATTAGATTGGTCACTGAACAGACATTTAATCCCCAGAGCCATATATTGTGAGTAAATAGGGACTAGTTAGCAGGATAAGAGTAAGCAGAGTGCATACCACCCGAGTTCCAACATTGGGAGGTATGAGATTAAGACGAGGTGGATGGGGTGGATGGGCCTGAATGGGGGGCGTCGCCATTAACGTGATTTGTGAGGGCCACCTCACTGAAGCACAGAAGGGCCAGTCTGTTCAGCCCACAGGCTGCAGAATCTTAAAGATGGGTACGGAAGTGTGAAAGAATTTGAGATGAAGAGGTTGTGTATGGCTGTTGATTTGACACGTTTGGTATTACTACAGTGTCCCGTTTGTCGGTGCAGCCAAAGATTTCAGGGTGTAGCATTCCTACTTCATTGTTAATAATGTGTCCCAGTCAACATGTAGCTAATGTAAGCTATTAAGCCTTTGACGCGCATTTCGTCTGTCGGCTCATCAGGTGGGAACCAGACTGTATTCTCTGCCCGGTATAAAAAGGAGTTATCTTAACTTGATTGGATGGATGAAATTTGAATGGTCCAATCAGCAGTTTGAATGGAAACCAATGGTCCAAACGGCAGTTTGGATGGAAACCAACTATCTGCAGGGGCCTAGAGCACATGCACAGTGTGGGCACTTCTAATGATGCACTCATGCTGTTCAGGAAGAGGACAGTTCCCTGTCTAGTGTTTCAGGGTACCATTGAACTATATTCCATAATAAGGGCAATTGGGGGCCTGAGACTGTGCGTAAATAGTGAGTATAGGTTACACTGAGCTGATTGGGTGTAAATTTGGGCTTGTAAGGATTATTGGGCAGACTAGATGGGCCGAATCGTTCTTATCTGCCATCACATTCTATGTTTCTAGAGAGAGCAGAGGGTGTTTAAAATGGGCTTCATGTCTCTGTAGTGGTTAGGTTACCTGGACTGCCGTTATGTGTGAAGGCAATATATCAGAAGGTGATAGAGAATATTAAGTGTGTGTAAAGGGTGCATGTGAGATAGGAGAGAAACGGAGAGGAGAAAGCTTACATACAGAAAATACAGAGAATGTGTTCCATGCAAGACTGGCCACGTAACAGATTGGAGCACAATGCTATTTGTACCTATCATGATGTCAAACGCCTTCTTCATGCTCTTTGCATCCTGAAGGCGGAATAAATGCTGCTCATTAGTCTTCTTTGATGCAAGAAGATTCAATTCATTATAATCGATGCCTGCCCCCCAACCAAAGACATAAACATCTGCAAATAACACAGCAATTAATATCACAGGAGTGAACCAGTTGGGACATGAGAGGGCTTGTAAGACGGGCAGGGGGGAAATTGACCCTTGGGCCAATAGCAAGTGAGGGCTGTAAAGGATCTTGTGGGCTGCAGCCTCCCATCGTTCTTTAATGTATAGATATACCAAGTGTTACATTGGGATGCCTGTTAGTACAGTACGGGAGAAGGAAGGCAGCAAGTAAGAATTGCCAATCTCAATGTTCTCCAGCCCTGTAATGTAATTGGTGGAAGGAGAGCCAACATCTCTTAGTTATTCATTTCATTCATTATTTCTGCGGATACTCTGTCCCTCTGTGCAGGTCCCACTGATGGAGGATGCACGGAAATCTAAAGTCACACATCCCTACTCCAGCAGCCTCCATGTGTCAAAGCTACATATTACATGCTCAGTGTGAGCTTCCCCTTCCACAGAGAGATCTGTGAGTTCCATGAGCAAAAATGTCATTCACGTGCTCTAACTGCACAGGCTCAAACACGTTGGACATTTCTAGCTTGTTAGAAAATTGCATTGCTGGTTAGTAGGCAATGCAGGCTTATTCACTAAAGTATAACTTGTCATAAATTAAAAGTAAATTTCAAATGTTATGCTCCTATTACACTCTCTTTACTACTCTATAGCAGCAAACGATGAGTTAATAAACAAGTTAGATGGAAAAAAACACAGATGCAACCAAACATGAATAGAATGTTTATAAACCAATCAGGAGCCACCAGATATGATATAAGGCACACGTCTATAGCGCTCATCCTTTTTCTTTGCTGCTTCTGCATCAGTATAAGTACGTGCATTTGCTCAATTACATATTTATTGATCTTATATATATTTTTAGTTCTGTCCATATCAAGTTTATAAGTCTGCGGCAATATCATTGTGTGGCAGTACTTACCTTATCCAGGGGCCGGCTAGGCTCCTCAGCTCGAGCCGCGCATGGTTTAAGCACTACAGCCTACACATGAGCCACGCACAGAAACATAGAATGTGACGGCAGATAAGAACCATTCGGCCCATCTAGTCTGCCCAATAATTCTATGTTTCTATGTAATGTTTCAGTACGCTTTAGTGCGTTCCATTATCTATTTTGTTTATTCTGGTATTGACCTTGGCTTTGTTCTTGACTCTGAGTTTATCTTTAACTCTTTCCTGTCTTGTTTGCCTGTCTGACTGATTACCATGTACCTGACTCTGGCTAGTTCTCATTTTCGCTGTCTCTCCGTTACCCTGACCCCTTTTCGTGTCTGACTACGCTTTATCTCTGTCTAACGTTAAGTCCGGCCATTCTAAGGCCCGGTAATATGTTATATCCCTGTCTTGTCCCTTTCTATCCTATACTCTGCGTGTTTTGGTATTACACCGTGACACATTGTTATTTTTCGGTTATCCAATTAAATTCAGACTCCCTCTGGTTCCCCCCACCCTTTATCTTGCTTTTGTGGCTCTTTTTCACCATAATTAAAGGACTACTCCACAACCATAAAGCACTTCAAACAACAAATAGATAACAGTGGAGTGCTGTATACCTTTAAAGTGCTAGTGAAGGGGCGGTGCTGGAATAAAGGTGAGTAAACTCATCTTTTAAAGGAAATAGTGTTGTTTGTATTCCTGACACTATAGTGTTCCTTTATGATGTCACCTAAAAATTTTCAGAATAGCCTTGCCCTATGCCACACCCACACTCACACCGCTGAAATTATAGTGTCCCTCTTGTCAACTAAAATGTTATTACATATGTGATTGTGACTTTGTTAGTAAAGACCAACTTCAAAATGTATTGGATGCCTCTATCAATAAGATAGGTTCAGCAGCAATCCTGTCAACTATGTCTTCAATGTAGGAGTCTGCCTGTTGCGTTAGCCATTAACCAATGTCCCATTTTCCAAATCAAGCTCCTGTTACTCCATCCGATCATTTTTGGTCCGCAGAGAAATCGGAACACAGCTTAGCTAAGAGACTAAAAAAAAATCCGGGAAGGCCACCCAGAAGAGACATTATTGCTTTGACCATCCTGTCACTTTAACTTAATGCTCTTAAGACATTATTCAACATAAGGGCCAAGAACTATGTGAATCAAAGCATATTTTGTGCAATAGAAGAGACCTTCAGCCCAGGAGGAGGTTAAATGGGATTGGAAGGCCTTAAAAAGGTTCAAATTTAATTCCTTCAAATAGCAGGTATTGATATTATCACATTTGCTGCACATTCTACCAGGGGAGCCACGTTTTCTAGAATTTTTCTAGCAGGGGGTTCCTTTCAGACACTTTAAAAGCTGCTGATTATTATTCATATTCTCTTTAAAACTTTTTATTTTAAACCGATTTCCTATGTGTCCACAATAGTTCTACCTTAATAAAGTATTGTTGGCTATTGTTCTGCATACTAGGAGCCTTCTGTCTATCATAAAATTCAAGCTTTGATTCGGTGCATCTTCACTGGTTCTTTATAGTTTTATTTCCAGTTAAATTTATGTTATGGTTGTGTGTTTCCACTTAATTTACAGCAGCTCAAAAGAGGATGAGAGTGATAGGAGTGTGCCTTATATAATATCCGGAGGCTCCGTGTTTATAAACATCCTATTCATTTTTGGTTGCACCTACTGTGGTTTTTTTAAAACTTGTTTATTAACTCATTGTTTGCTTCTATGGAGTAGTAAAGACAGTAGAAAAGGGACATTATAGTCACCAGACCCACTACAGCTTAATGTATTGTTCTGGTGTCTATAGCATGTTCCTGCATGCTTTTTAATGTAAATGCTTCCTTTTCAGCCAAAGGGCAGTGTTTGCATTGCTGCCTCGTAACAACTCTAGTGGCAGTCACTCAGACGGCCACTGGAGTTGCTTCCTATTCCAGTGCTGCACAATGTGCAGCATTGGTGTTCAGAGTCTCAGTGCTCTGAATGGAAACGCTGAATGCTCCCCATAAAGATGCATTGATTCAATGTATCTCTATGAGGTGATGTTTGCAGTGCAATGCGTTTGTATGGGAAAGCATTGGATTCGCTGATATCATCAAGGCAGGGCCAGCCAAGGCAAGACCAGCGCGGCAATGGAGAAAAGGTCATTTTAAACACATTTAACTCCACTCTGTGAAGGGCCCAGAACCGAAACTGCTACGCCAGCACTATAGTATTCGGAATACATGGTTGAATTCCGAACACTATAGTGTTCCTTTAATGCATAATACTTGCCTCCTATCTTTAATTTATATTTTCCTTCAAGCCTAGGGAGCCTAGGCTAAATAGTATAGTTTATATAATATATTTTTATGTACAAGGTATAGTTTATGGAATATACACATAGTGGCTGTGCTATTATAAGTGGTATATTTGCAGCTGTCTATGCATAGTATTATACATACTGTTGCTGGTACATGATTCTTTTCATACCCAGAAAATCTTCACGTGATTTTCCAATTTCCAGGAAAACTATGATTTTGTCTAATTCTGCTTTAGGTTCTCCACCCATATTATGCTTCCATGAAAAGACAAACAGAAAGCAATGTAATTAAGCATCTGAGAAAGTTTGGAGGAGTTTTGATTTGAGCTGAGTACCCATGTGCTAAAAGGAACTGAACATGTGGCTCATTGTGTGTGTAGGCGTAACTCCACCTCCGGCAGTGGGTTGTCAATAGAGGAACAAGCATTCTGAGCTGGCTAATGTCAATTCAGTGCATATTTATACGCAAATTGGTTACTTTTTGGTTTATGATGATTTTATTAATATGTAAAACATATAATATATAATGGTTGTGCAATATTCTCAGAAAAGTTGCTTTCAAACTATTTATTATGATTACTTATTTGTGTGTTCTTATATATATATATATATTTAATAATCTTTTTTGCCCTTTGTGAGGTATTTTTGGCAATACATTTTGCTTATTATGGACTAATATTTGCACTAATACACTCTATGGGACTAAGCTCCATTACTAACGATTGAAAAAGTGAAGCATTTCGGGACTTGTAGTTCTAGAGAAAAACCGGAAGTGATGCAACGGCACTTACGGCTGGAAAGAAGAAACAGCTGATTTCCCGCTCAGACTACACGAAAAAGGCGGGGATTTGGAACATTTAAAAACCGGACATTGAGGGAAGAGCAGTATACCAACTGAGGAAGCCGACACTAAAGGCGAAACGCGTCTTGGTACGAGAGGAGAGGAGGAAGCTTTGACATATTTATTGTCTACTATTTTTTATACATATATACATTTTGATTTTATATGTTTTAAATAAATCTATTTTTATATACTCACCTCTACCTCCTACTTATGCTCCTTGGATCCGGTTGTGGGTAGTGTCAGCCTGCCAAATTTGACACACATACCTTTTAGACTTAGAGCCAGTTATTAAAAGGCTCTCTAGTAGGTGAGCATTGATTACTGTTTTATATTGTCCACCAATGTTTTAAGTTTAATCTGCTCTTTTTGGGAGATAAACTACTTGCTGGAAAAAGAGGAACAAAGTTCACCATTTAGGTGCTGTTGCCTACCTTAAAGGCACAGATGCAGAAGTGTTTAGAGCCTGTATCCCCATAAAAGGCTCTATAAAATGTGAGTTTGTTTCTATTCAATGTATTTTACCCAATTATAATTGATACCAAACAATATTACCCTATATACTTTTTTTCTCTGTTTATTTTACAGGAATATGTCACTTGTTCTGATATCACACTCACAGCGCTGCACTATTTACTGAATAGTGAGAAGGTCTTTTTGTACCCACTCACTGTTTAAGTATTTGTTTGCTTTGGTGTCTATCTATTACAGTGGGGTTTTTGGAGTATCCACTGAGTGCCTATAGCAGCTGAACTAAAAAACTTTCTATCTTATATCACAAAGCGCCATTGGTTTACCGCACCTTATTTGTGTTTGTACTATTTATAGTACAAGAATGGTGTAAATGTCCAAGACAAATATTCCGTTTTGTCTTATATAAAGTAGAAACATTCTCCCCACCTCTTCCTCCTTCCTTACTGATATCACTCCGCCTCGCTGCAGGGGGGGATTGAGGCCATGATGAGGAAGGAGTGAGGGTGGCACTGGGGGGTATACCATCATTGGTTGTCTATAACCAGCATCGTATGTGTGCTGATGACGGATGTCTTTTATGCACAGAACTGATATTAACAACCCAGAACTCTTATCCAGTTTTATTGTACTCAGAGATGATTGTCCAAAGGGCCCTCGAGTGCAGTGTCTATCATTGGTTATCTATATGTAAGCTAGGTGAAGGCTTGTTAGTAAGAGTTGATGTCTAACTGTGGTATATATTCCCTGTTAATGTGCTTTTAAAATTCATAGATTGAAAGCCAGGTGGTGGTGAATGGTGCTGTTTGGAAATCATTGTCGGTGTGAGTTTTGGTGTAACATGTTGTTGTGTGTTACCATTTGTCATGAGCAGAATGACATTTCGTTTCTTCATGAATTGTTCTTTTTCTATTAGCTCCTGCAAAACCAACATCTCAAATACACTATGAAGGGCAGCTTTCATGTTAGTTCCCTTCTTATCTCCATGAGCTAAAAGGGTGAGAAAGAGGAGAACAGTTAGGAATTTTAATTTTTTAAAATTTTGTTTGTATTCGTTGATGCCAATGCAGTTATAGCAACAGAAGTTAGAGAAAACTTGTCTTGGCTATTGTAAGTTCAGGATCGTTTTAATGTGGCATCCAAAAATACAGCTTTTCACGGTATCTTTTTTTTTTTCCATTTTTCATACAGTTTATCATAACCAACCACAGCCAGGTTTATACGAAAATATAGGCTGTTTTCATCTTAGTGGAAGTCTTTGACTAAATGTAGGATGTTTGCTATCTCAATGGAAGTCTATGGATGAATGTAGGATGTTTGCTATATCAATGGAAGTCTGTGGGTGAATGTAGGATGTTTGCTATCTCAATGGAAGTCTATGGATGAATGTAGGATGTTTGCTATCTCAATGGAAGTCTGTGGGTGAATGTAGGATGTTTGCTATCTCAATGGAAGTCTATGGGTGAATGTAGGATGTTTGCTATCTCAATGGAAGTCTTTGAATGAATGTAGGATGTTTGCTTTATTAATGGACGTCTATGGGTGAATGTAAGATGTTTGCTATCTCCATAGAAGTCTATGGGTGAGTGTAGGATGTTTGCTATCTCAATGGAAGTCTATGGGTGAATGTAGGATGTTTGCTATCTCAATGGAAGTTTGTGGGAAAATAGACGTTTGTCTAAACATTCGAAATATACACATGCACTTTATTTATATAAAGATAAATTATATTTGTTATCATGTCTCTTAACGTTTGCTTTCTTTTTATTGATTGTTGATGTGCCTTGAGTCTTTACATATAATTACATATCCATAGCATGTACATTTCTCTATAGCATTTATTGAGATTTTAAAAACCAAAGAAAAGAGTTACTTGAGCACTATCCAAAATCCCTGTGTATATTTAACCACTTCAGGACCGGACTGTTTTGGCCCTGTTGTACGTTAAGGACCGGACTGTTTTGGCCCTGTTGTACGTTAAGGACCGGATTGTTTTGGCCCTGTTGTACGTTAAGGACCGGATTGTTTTGGCCCTGTTGTACGTTAAGGACCGGATTGTTTTGGCCCTGTTGTACGTTAAGGACCGGACTGTTTTGGCCCTGTTGTACGTTAAGGACCGGACTGTTTTGGCCCTGTTGTACGTTAAGGACCGGACTGTTTTGGCCCTGTTGTATGTTAAGGACCAGGGCTGTTTTAACACTTTTGTCGTGTTTGTGTTTAGCTGTAATTTTTCTCTCTCTCATTTACTGTTCCCATACAAATTTATATATTGTTTTTTTCAGGACAAAAGGGGCTTTCTTTACATACCATTATTTGTATCATGTCATATAATTTACTTTAAATAAAATAATAAAATATGGTGAAAAATTGAAAAAAACATGTACTTGAAAAATCTTTTACTCATCTACAAAAGCTAATGTATTCCTGACCTTATAGTGGCTTGCTCCCCCCTTACCCCCTCAGAATGGATTTTAAACACCTTATTTCCAGCTCTCCACTGGTCTGCTGGTGCTGGACCTGTCCCCTTGGTGACATCATCAAAAGTGCCGATTTTTAACAAATCCAATGCTTTCCCATGGGCACGGGGCAGGGCCAATCAGCACCTCCTCATAGAGATGCATTAGAATCAATGCATCTCTATGAGGAAAATTCAGCCTTCCCAATGCCCTGAACGGCAGGGCTGCTTACTGTGCAGCCCTGAGCCAGGAAGCACCTCCAGTGCTAAGGAGTGGCCACTTGGAGGTGTCCCTAGAGGCAATGTAAACAGTTTGCATGAAAATGCCTGAAGGGAGCTATTATACTCACCAGAACAACTTCATTAAGCTGTAGGTGTTCTGGTGACTATAGTGTCCCTGTAAGGTATGTGTCTGGCTCTCTCGCTTCCTACCCCAGCAGCTATCTCCTTTTCTCCAAGCTCCTACCCCCGATGTCCCCACCCCTTGGTTCCCCAACCAAGCTTCCCACCGCCCTCCAAGGTCTCAAGCACTGGCCTTGGGAGCAGGCTGCATCTAGTACTAATTTTGTTTTCCGATGTCCACGATGGCAGGCACGGCTGTAACATGAGGTGCCTGCTGCCGATCTGCTTTTTATAACTAAAAATCTCAAATAATTATTGTTTGCTTTTTTGCTAGAGAAATTCTATCTAGCATTTTACTACAAAATATTTTTTTAAAGTAATAATTTGATGACATCTTGTGGCTAAATTCTGTATTACACGTGTAAATTAAATTTTGCCTCAAAATGACCAACTTATTTAACTCCGTAATAGGAAAATGCTTATATGCTTTATTCCCTATACATGGAATCATACACATATTTTGGAAACAGTATTGCCATTTAGACATATTCCTTTTCATGACTGAAAACATTTAGTGGCAGAGTCAATTCCATGTGTCCAGTCTTGAAATGCCACGAGCCACCACTGACTCGTAATTGTATAACCAAAATCAGTCAATAAGTGTCCCTCCAATTAATGTGTCAAACAAATAACAACTTATCTGCATGCACAAAATATCAATTGAAAAAAATAAAATAACCAAAAAATAGGTGTAGAATTTGGACTTCATGCTTCCTGTTTGCTAACAGTCTCTCTTCCTTTAGTTCCTGGTATAATACTATTTATCTCTGTATTACATGGACTAACACAGTATGCTATACATTACTAAAGGAAATCGCACAGTACTAACCTCCATACTTAAACTCATCCAGTTTGTCTATCACCTTATCTGCTTCCACACTCTCTTCGTCAGACAGACGGACAACTGGGATTGCCTCAGAAGCATACAAGATAATTGCGTATCGGGGTTCAATATCAAAGCTGGAAACCTGCCAATAATTTATAAAATATACATACAGTGATTTATTTACAATCAAATGCATTGCTAATAGGAGACAGGTTTGTAATTACCCTATTTTGTTCTGAGGGGCATTGCAGTGTGCATATATAAACTATATAATTGAAGTGGTCTGGGTGCAATGCCCCTGTCAGTTCAAACAAGCTCCAGTGGCTTTCTTCCTGACAGCCACAAGAGGTGCTTCCACATCCATAATTGCGTTACGCTTACTAGCCTCCCAAATATTTCCTGTTTTCACAATGGGAAAGCACTGCATTGGCTGAGATCATCTACACTGATAATCGCAGCCAAAGAGGGTGGAGTTTCCCCATGGAGACCAGCACAGTGGGGACTGAAATGTAAGTGTCATGAAAATAATATACCAAAGAGAGCTGGTTTCAACATGTCCTTATTGCAGAGCTTAACCTGAGGCGAGTCACCATCTTCAGCAGCCGGCATTACATTTGAAAAATGACAGTTCCCTCAGCAACCTCCCGCTATGCCCCCTTTCTGTGATTTCACTCAGGCTCTCATCACATCTCCCCATTTTTATTATTATTTTTTAGCAGACAAACAAAACATATAAACAGAAGAAAAAATAACTATACTATCTTGGACATCAGATTAGATTACACTAGTCCACAGTTACTGTGGGATTATTCTGCCCATTCTTCAAGTCACTGTTCTAACTGCAGTGCTCAACTTGGTAGTGTGCTGGAAGCTTCACAACTCTACCACTCAAAGTAATTTTGCAAGGACCTTCCCTGAGTCCTTGTGAGAGTGGTTGTGACTCCACTGGAAGCAGTGTTGGATCCACACCAACTCGAAAGAGGTATACTTATCATGACCTGGGATTCTACCACCTGTGGTCCCAAATTCTCATCACCTAACTCATAGGGTACTGGCTGAAGGTGCCTTCTATTGCGGTGGGCAACAGTCCATCTTCTGTGTGGACCACATAGGACATTGGCTTGGGGGTAGCCAGTACTTTCCACCTCTTTTTGTCATCCAACTTGATTTAGATACTTTGGCCCAGGTACAGCTCCGGTCAGTGGGTTTTCAGAGTGTCTTTTATTGTAAAATAATCTGTAATTCTGCTTTGCCTTCTCATCCCTCCTACGAATGTCCTCTGGAAGAAAAGAGGAAGCTTTAATGCCCCCCCCACAGAAGGCAATGTGGTACGATTCTGTCACCCTAACATCAGCTGTGCAGGGCTGCATCTTGTAGCTTTAATTGGAGTTGCCCTGTAGGCTAAGAATGCCAAGTAAATTTCTGGTTCTTCAAAACAAACTTGGTGGTTTGAACCGCTCTATAAGCGACTCCATTGGCCTGCAGGTAATGTAAACTGGAAGTAAAGTGAAAAAAAAAATCATACTCTCTACTGAAAGGTCTTAACTCTGTCATGGATAAATATAATCCAAAGATATGTTCAGGGGAAACCAAATTGTTAGTTCAAGCGCGCTCGGAGAAGCAATCAGACACCACAAGTGTTTGTGTATCAAAGAAAGCTTCCACTTTTTTTTTTATTCAAGAGCAAGATAATATAGCTTTGAGACTTGAGCGACAAAACCAGGATGCTTGAAGGCACTTTGTACCATAAAAGGAATTTACAGAACTAAGCATATTTCAATGGTTATATATAAAAAAACATGAAGTTAGTTAGAACATAAGAAGGGGGGCTGAGGGTAAAAGCTGCAATCGACAACCTCAGAGATCACAGAATGTCACAACTAAAGAAATTATGCTTACTTTTCAGACACTAAAGCTAGGGTAAAGTTCAAATCATATCATAATCTAGGTTAGCGAATTTAATAAAAACAGACTGGTCATCCGGTCATCTGTAGCTTGAGCCTTGGGCCAAGGTGCTTTTCATCACAACTCCATAAAAGTAAACTGCATTCCATTGTCACTCACAAACTCCAATGGTTAACTCCACCTGGCAAATATGCTTTTAAGACGGGTGATGACAGCCATGCTTGTCGCCTCACCTAAAGGTGCATTTTCGAGATATCTGAGGTAGTAGTCTACACAACCAGATATTTTTTTTTCCGTTGGGTTCACACTACTCTGCAGCTATCTCCTGCCAGGGGCCTGTAGTCAGTGGGGTAGAGATTAGAGGCTTAATTGTCTGTGCTGATTCCAGGCCACCACACCACCATGGTTGGTCTTTCTCTACACTTAGAAATCCCCAAATAGCCACCATGAATTTGACTTAATGTTTCTTGCGCATACTGGCAGGTATGACAATACGGTCTTTAAAAAAGCACAAAAGCATCCAATTTTGTGAGATGCGTTTGACTAGAAAGCACTCAGCAGCATCCACATTGCTCGGCTCTTAGGCCAGCCATTATATGTAGCTATTAACTTCAGTTGATCAGAGATCAGTATCCCAATGTATCTTTCTCTGTAGAATTTTCTATTGATTATGTATGGATGTCTGAATTTATATAAGTAACAGATGGTGTCACAGTCACAAAGCTTTCTTTGTCTGAGAAGTCTGGGATATGGATTGGGGGACTTGTCCTTATATGGCTAGGGTTATAGTCTGACATCATTATTGTCATATCTATATAGAATAGTGGACAAAGGACCACAAGGTCTTGCTGTTGCCTGCTGCTTGCTGCAAGGGGGTTCTTGTCCAGGCTGTTCTCTAACTATGTAGAGTCTAACTCTCCTTCAGGAGTCCAGCAATTACCATCTGCTGTTGAACATCCTGTAGCGGATGGCACTGGGCTGTCCTGAGAATTACATATGTTTTGAATGCATTCGTGTAAAATGGCAAAGTTATATGTGTTAAATGTATTGTATTCGTCTGATTGTTCGGTAGTTTCATTCCCTTAGTTTGTTTGAATGAAACTACCGAACAGTCAGACCTCCCCTGTGTGAAGTGTGCCTTCAATTACCCGTTGCAACATTGTTGTGAACGGGTAATTGACAAGCTCAGTAGCAGTCCTTTGTTCTCGGGGGTGGCCGCCATTCGGGAAACGAACACATGGCAGCGGCCATTTTAAAACTCCCGAACAGCGGTGTTTTGCCGTCGAGTGTCTGGAACTCAAATCGGACACTCAACTAGGCGAACACCGCTGAGACCTCCACAAGCCCGGTCCGTTCGGTTCCAAACTACTGAGTGGCCCCTCGTTCGGTAGATAGAAACAACCGAATGAGGGGATTCAGGCGAACCCTTCCTAGTCTCTGTAGCTGGAGGCTTTTGTGCAGTTTGTTCCCTTACTCCAGGACCGACCGCTGGGCCCCATCGCATGGAACCCCATTCGGCTGTTCTTTCCAGTGCGGTCGGTCATTTTATTCCCTCCATAAATTTCCCGAACCCCTGGTCTGATCTGGGGGATTTTTGGATATGTTGTTCACCCAGATCAGGGCTACCAGGGGATGTATAATTTAAAGTGGTACCCCTAGGTTTATGGGTACATCCAGAAACGGGGGGAATTGGTGTCCTGGATAAGGGGATTATGATGCAGGCTGAGGGGAGGAGATGTGTGGGAGGTTACCAGAGCAGGATTGGCTACTGTACAAATGAATGGAAATCCCTCCCTTGCATGGGAGCAGGCTTTATAAGGCCACTGTCTGAATAAATCTTTAGTTCTGCTCCTGATACTGTGTGTCGTCCAGTTATTGGGATTGCTGTTGGGATACTGCTGTGTTATTTTGCCTGCTGGATACTTTACCCTATGGACTTATTATTGCTTGTTCCTGAACCTCCCTGGGATCTAAAGTGGAGATAGGCTGTGTAATACCAGCTCTCCGCTACACATCCATTATCCTGTAATACCCTTTGTTGTTTTATTATGTATCCGTAACTGTAAGAATAAACCTGAAGAAACTGTAAGTCAGATTGTGTATTAGTACTTTTGGTTAATATAGACATATATCTACCAGGCGTGTCTTTTACCCAAGAAGAAATATACATAAAATAATTATTTCAACCAACTTGGAAAAACACACGGAAGAACGATTTTATTACACTCTCTTAATCTGTTCCTATTTCCCAGATGAAATTGACCTGGATGCCAATAATGATTTGTGATCAAACTCCAACCAGACACACCTTTTCAGTCTGGGCGTATCTTGTTTCTGCCGCTATCAGTGTACGAGAGCAGTTGTAATGGGCTGCGATTTGCAAGTTTGCCTTCATTTAGCTACAACAGGGCTGCTCCTAGACCATAAATGCTAGCATCTGCGCTAACCACCATCTTTTTAGAAGGATCATAAAACCCCAGCACAGAGGTAGACCACAACAATGACTTGACCAGTGCAAAGGCTTCGTCCTATGGAGGTCCCCAGGTTCAAGCAGCATCCTTCTTTAACACTGAGGATAATTCTGGTAGAAATTTGTCCAAATAATTCACAAAGTCCAGTTTTTGTCTACATTCAATTTTGTCAGGAGGGCTTCATATTTTCTCGATAGCGAGAACTTTACTTGCATTTAGCTCAATGCCATCTCCACTGATAATATGACCAAAGTAGCACAGTCCCATTTTCCCAAAGTGACATTTATCTTTGTTCAGCTTCAGTCCAGATGCTCTTACTGTCTCCAGTCACTGATCATACTTTTCTTGAGTGGACCCAATGTTGAATGTATTGTCCGATCCCGTATCAATCTTAAAAGCAATCCTTGCACCCATCTCTGTAAGAGTAACTAGCCAATCTTTGTAAGTACTGGACTGTTAAATCACAGACCCTATAAAAGACACCTCTTGTGTCTCTTTTTCACTGCCGAGATGCATTTCCTGACAATAGATACTCCAACAATAGATACTGATTTGCGAACCACCTCAAGTTGTCCAATCCGGTTAAACTTTCTGCACCTCTTGTCTTTAGCAGGGCAAACACCTTTGTCTGTGAGTGCGGTAACATTGCGTGCAACAAGCTTGTTGCACCCAACCATCTCTGAGCCTGTCTGCTGTCTGTAGTTTGCTAATCATTCTCTTTCTGTCGCTTGCAGCTCTCCTGGACTGCTGTACTTCTTCTACCATGTTTTGAGATCTCATCCCTGCACTTTGCTTCTTCACCAGTTTATTCTGGCGGACCATTCACAGAGCTTAATTTTGTGTGTTTGTTACAATAAGCCACAGGGCCCATTTTAATGATCCAATAATTGTATAGAGTATTGGATTGTGTCGACATCATTACTTGGGACCTTTAAGAACATGTTACCAAGTTGGGTTTGGATCACCAGATTTGGGTAGGTGGATTTGTAGACCAGACTGAGAATATCCAGGTAGAAAGCAGAGATTGCTTTATAATTATCCAAATGATCTGTCTTTGCCGGGTACAGCTAGCATACCAGCAGTATCATTGTGTGATCTTCGACTGTGAATGCAATATGTGTTTACTCTATTTAATGTGTGTATTTACATGCGTGGATTGGGGTTACATGGTTCAGGTATGTGGTGGTTCCCTAATGTTCATTTTTGCTAACTCTAAGTGGAGGCACTGTAATCAATCCTATAATCTCCCATATAGACTTCCCACCTGGAGGTGATTACTGAGTAATAAAATCTTCAGAAACGTTAGGAACTAAATGATTCTTGGACCATTAAGAATCCACATACCCAGTCTGTGATACAGTGTTACTCTATCAGCCAGTATACCTTCTCTATGAACGTTATGGTGCTCTCCTTGGCAGTGTTAAAGTCTTCTACTTTTGATGCATCCAGGATAATAAATATATTCATGGGATCTCCCTTCTTTACACCAAGTTTTCGTTTGCTGATATCTGGTGGGGGAATATGAGAACATTAGAAATTAGGGGGAGGATGGAAATGGACAAAGAAATATGTCAGCAGAGGGAGCATTACAATATTAGTGATATTCAGAGTAAAATATGAGTCGAAGGAATAAGATGTTGTGTTGACTGTAGAAAAAGATGAAACAAACGGTACATTGAAAATCATAGCATTTCTCACACTCTGCCACTTATAAATAGTTTCAAATAGTGGAAAAAAGAAAACTTTGAATACTAATTCTCCTACCTTCCCCTTCTTTATCTGGGTCAGCCGCTTCAATATTAGCTGCCAGGGTAGCAGAGAACATCTCAGCCACTTCCTCTGGTGTGTCAAATGTGTACCACTCTGTGGATAAGAGAAAACAGTTAGAATTTGCTCATCTTCATAATTTTTCATTATAAAAGAAGCTCGTCATCACCAGAATGTCTCTAAATAAGTTCTACTGAGACCACCAGCCTCTAACTAACGTTTTCACTATAGCTTGTTAAATTAAAACCGTATAGAGCTGGCAGCAAGACAGTCTTACCTTTGAACTCACAAATAGTCGTATTTCCACTCCATTTCCCATTGACCTGGCAGCTACGGCTCGCTGACCCCTTCATTTCAAATCCTGGCCAACTTTGCTTCTTCACCAGTTTATTCTGGCGGACCATTCACAGAGCTTAATTTTGTGTGTTTGTTACAATAAGCCACAGGGCCCATTTTAATGATCCAGTAATTGTATAGAGTATTGGATTGTGTCGACATCATTACTTGGGACCTTTAAGAACATGTTACCAAGTTGGGTTTGGATCACCAGATTTGGGTAGGTGGATTTGTAGACCAGACTGAGAATATCCAGGTAGAAAGCAGAGATTGCTTTATAATTATCCAAATGATCTGTCTTTGCCGGGTACAGCTAGCATACCAGCAGTATCATACAAAAACAATATTAATACACAATAAATACAAAATTTAACATAGAACAGGTAGGAAATATATAATCAACCATGACAGGTGCATTCTGTTTTGAGGTATGTATAGAGGGATCTCTTAAAGAACTTTAGGCTTGGGGAAGATTTGAAAGTGTGCGGGAGGTCGTTCCATAATTGCGGCGCTCTGTAGGAGAAGGAGGATCGGGCTGCTTTCTTTTTGTATTGAGGTAGACTAAGTAAAGTGTTGGTACTGGATCGGAGGTTATAGGAATGCAGAGGCATGTCTGAGTCGCACGTATAACTCTCAATGTCCATCTTCCTAATGGCCTGGTCCACATCAGGGTCATGATCATGTCCTTATTTGTGGTGGTTGAGGAAGCTTTGTGTTCCTGACAGCCTTAATAGTAAGGTTCCGGCATTCTGTGGTTGCGTACTGGAACGTTAGTGATGAGGCTAAATGCTGAACACGTCACAGGGAAGAGGCGCGGACAGGCTACAGATGCTGTGAGGAATATATATAGCTGTGTGTGTATTAGTGATATTCATGTGTCTGCAGTCAAGGAATAAAGATTGTTTGTCTGTAGAGTGAAACAAGTCTGAAGGAATAAGCATGTCCCTGTGAGAGTAAAATATGAAGTGGAGAAACTTGAATGAAATTCTCTCTACCTTCCCCTTCTTTATCTGGGTCAGCCGCTTCAATATTAGCTGCCAGGGTAGCAGAGAACATCTCAGCCACTTCCTTTGTGTCAAATGTGTACCACTCTGTGGATAAGAGAAAACAGTTAGAATTTGCTCATCTTCATAATTTTTCATTATAAAAGAAGCTCGTCATCACCAGAATGTCTCTAAATAAGTTCTACTGAGACCACCAGCCTCTAACTAACGTTTTCACTATAGCTTGTTAAATTAAAACCGTATAGAGCTGGCAGCAAGACTGAAGCCCATGGAACAACGAAGTAAGGGGAGTGGGCCTTGACAGAGCCAGGAGTGGGCAGGTGCATTCAGTTAGGGGTTGGTTTAAGCTAATGGAGCTTGGGGGCGGGATCAAAGGGGGTTGAAATAACGGCCATCTTAGAGAGTGGCCATTTTAATCAGAACTTCACTTACCTGTCAGTTGTGTCAGGTCTGTGGGGTTTTTCTTTTTTCTTTTGCTGCAGGTTCATGGCTTCCCTGGATGAGATCCTGGCAGGAGTGAGAGCAGCAGTGAAGGACCGAGGGCTGGCCTGGCTGCATGAACAACTGGGGGCTGCAGTTCCCCCTCCAGCTCCAGCGGAGCGCAGGACGGCGCGAAGAGCACGGCCGCCCCAGCGCTTGAGTCCGGGCATGGCGCCCGCTCCACGGCGGCGGAGGAGCCCGTCGGCACCCAGCCAGGAGGCAAGAGGGTCGGACAGCACCGGGAAGCGGCCGGCGCCGCCGGTGCGCCGCGGTGCCGGTCAGGCGAGGACGGCCGCAAAGCGCGGGCCTGCTGGTAAACGCGCCCCACCCAAGATGGCGGCAGGCAGCACAGGAACCCCAGAGGAGGGCTCCAGCACGGCGGGAATGGCGGCCGGGAGAGCGGAGGAACACGTGGTCGGCAGCACTTCAGTGAGGCGTCCCGGTGAGTCCACTCTGGTCACTGAGGGGCAGGGGGCGGGCGGGACGCGGGATGTTCCAGCGCAGGCGGCCCCCCAGCAACCCAGGGGTGGCCTGGTCAGCGGGACCAGCTCGCGGGCGGCCTTAGGTGTGGCCGGGACGGGCGACAGTGCCAGGCATAGGGAGGAGGGGCGGCAGGAAGACGGCAGGATCGGACAGGGAGCGGCAGAGGTTCCAGCGGGCTGCCAGGGGGTGCAAGGGGCATCTGAGCCAGGCGCAGCGGCCAACAGATGGCCAGGTACAGCGGAGAAAGGGGACACACGCAGTACAGCGCGGGATAGGGAAGTCAGGAGCAGTAGCAGTGGAAGGTTGGGCCCCTCAGGCTGCTCTCACGGGGGGCACCGCAGCGGGACCAGGGAGCGGGAGGAGTACAGACGGGAGCGGCGCAGCGGTGGCGCCAGGCCCGGCAGCAGCAGGAGGTCAGCTGATCGGCAGTGGAGCAGGGACAGGAGTCCATCGCATAGCAGGCGCAGTGGTTCCAGGACCAGCTGCAGGGCGGGGAGAAGGAGGTCCGCGTCCAAGGACGGGCGGGGGCGGAGGCGGCGCAGCGCATCTGGGTCCTCGGGTGACAGTGCGCTAGGACAGCAGCGGGCCCCCAGGAGCAGGGAAGCTAGGCCGGCAAGGCGGTGCGAAGCTTGGAATTGCGGAGAAGAGCGTAGGGAGGAAGGACGGGTAGGGGCCCAGCAGTACAGACTACCCAGGTTGTCTTCTCCTTACAGGTCGCGGAGCGCTACCCCTACGGTCCTGAGGAGGGATCAGGCGGATGGGAGTCGGCGTCAACCGGATGCTCCGGAGCCTGAACGGGTGGACGGAAGGTCGGCAACCCCGGGGCCTGGCACGGCCGGGGTCTCCAACGGTGAGTCCATATCTGCACAACACTCCGGACAGTTATTGGGCTATTTAAAAACACTATTGGAGGCATGGTCAGGAAAGGGGGAATCACCATTACAGTTCGGAAAGGTATGGTCCCCTGACACGGCGGTTAAGGCAATAGGGGCGGGGGTCCAACCGGCGAGCGGAGGCGAGGTAAGCGAAGCGGTAGTGGCGTCCGGTGCGGCGGATGGGGGGGCTGAGTCGGCGGTCGGGTGTGGCGACATTTCGGACGCGGCACGTCAAAACGTACACGTATCTTTTGCGGGCCCCCTAGGTTGTCACCTGAAATTAGAGGTCAAAGAAAAGATTTGGAAGGGGGAGTTCATGGAAATTTTTTCTTTGCTCCCTTTGGAGGAATTCCTAGACTTGAAGGAGGAGGATAAGAAGGACGCCAAGAAGGAGGAAGAAGAAAAAAGGCGGAGGTATCGCAAGATACCGAAGACTTTTGGGAATTGGCTGAGGGCGTTCTGCATCCTGGCTAGTGTGATAGGGAAAAAAAGGCCAGGGAGCTGTTCGCAACTGTTCTGCTACTTGGATGGGATAGGCGATGCGTATCGGACGTATGGGGGCCTAGCGTGGTGGAAATATGATGAGCAGTTTCGGCAACGCTTGGCGGCCAACCCTACCATGCGGTGGGACCAAATGGACCTGCCGCTATGGATGAGGATTATGATGGCGCAGAAGGCTGCGCCCTTTCTCGGGGCAGCTGGGACAGCCTCAGGCGTGGCTGTGCCAGCGGGAAAAAAGAAGGGCCTGTGCTGGACGTACAACGAGGGTCAATGCAAGTGGGGTACTTCATGCCGATTTAGGCACGAGTGTTCGGGCTGCGGAGGGAATCACGGCGCCAGCAGATGCTTCAAGAAAGGTAAGCTCAATGCAGGGGGTGGAACCGCAGGGGTGGCGGCCACCTCGGCTGCAACTGGGGGCATCCCCAGTGAGGTTAGGCGCGATGTTGCCTTGGCTAAGGCAATACGCTAACCAGGAGGATGCAGCGTTCCTGTGGCGGGTTTTAGGGAGGGCTTCGTGATCCCCTTCACGGTTAAGGAACCAGGGGCGGTTTGTGCCAATCTTAAATCGGTGCGGGAACGCCCGGAGGTAGTGCGGGAAAAGCTGGCCAAAGAGGTCCTTTTGGGGAGGATGGCGGGGCCGTTCCCGTATCCTCCTATAGCGGAGTTGCGGATATCCCCACTTGGAGTGGTCCCCAAAAAAGAGGCTGGCAAGTTTAGGTTGATTCATCATTTATCGTATCCTAAAGGGTCATCGGTGAACGATGACATCGACGCAGCACTCTGTTCAGTATCTTACACATCATTCGACAGGGCAGTCGAGTTGGTACGGAGAGCTGGGCGGGGAGCGCTGATGGCGAAGGTGGACGTGGAGGCAGCGTTTCGGCTGCTTCCCATACACCCGTCATGTCATCACCTCTTGGGGTGTTGTTTTGAAGGGGGTTTCTTTGTGGATATGTGCTTGCCGATGGGTTGTTCCATCTCGTGCGCCTATTTCGAGAAGTTTAGCACTTTTCTGGAATGGGTAGTGCGACGGGAATCGGCCGGGGGCACGGTTGTGCATTACCTGGACGACTTCTTATGTGTCGGCCCTCGAGGCTCAGACCGGTGCAAGCAGATACTACGGGTGTTCCAATGGGTAGCGCAGACGATGGGGGTTCCTTTGGCGGAGGACAAGACCGTGGGACCCGCCACATGTCTGTTTTCTGGGTTTGGAGATCGATTCGGAGATCGGGGAATGTAGATTACCACAGGACAAGTTGCACAAGCTGAAAGACTTGGTGCACACAATTGGGAGAGCACGCTGAGGGGATTACAGTCTCTGGTAGGGAGCCTGAACTTTGCGTGCAGGGTCATACCCATGGGGAGGGTTTTCTGTAGACGATTGGCGCGGGCGACGAGCGGGATACGGATGCCGTCACACTATATCAGGGTTTCCGCGGACATGAGGGCGGACTTAGAGGTGTGGGATCATTTTTTGAGGGACTTCAATGGCAAGGCCTTTTTTCGGGAGCAAGTGGTGTCTTCGGAAGCAGTGGGGCTGTTTACGGACGCTTCGGGCAGCGTGGGGTTCGGGGCTTATTTTGCGGGACGGTGGTGTGCCGAGGCATGGCCCGAGGCATGGAGGGCGAGCCCATTGATCAAGAATCTGGCATTTTTGGAACTCTTCCCTGTAGTGGTTGCGGTAGCATTGTGGGGAGCTGAACTAGCAAACAAGCGAGTCGTGTTTTATTCGGACAATATGGCCGTGGTGCAGGCAATCAACAGTTTGTCGGCATCTTCGCTTCCGGTCCTATGCCTACTGCGGCATTTGGTGCTCCTCTGCATGTCTTCCAATTTAGTATTCAGGGCTAGGCACATTCCGGGATTCTCAAATGTGGTGGCTGATGCGCTTTCTCGTTTTCAGTGGGATCGTTTTCGGGAAGCGGCTCCAGAGGCACGGGAATGCGGGCAGGCCTGCCCCGACGAGATGTGGCGACTCGGGACATCGTGCTTGGGGAATACATAAAGAAATCCTTGGCACCGAGCACGTGGTCATCTTATGCTAAGGTTTGGAAGGAATGGGAGGAAACGGTTGAGGAGGTAGGTGGGGACCTTTCGGAGGGCCATAGGCTGGATGTCTTCCTATGGTTGTTGTGCCGGTTGTTTGCAAAGGGGGCTTCGCCGGCCACGGTGGACAGGCATATGTCCGCCTTGGCTTTCTGGTTTAAATTCCAAGGGTGGGAAGATTTGACAAAGCATTTCTTGGTCCGACAGGCGGTTCGGGGTTTTCGGAGGGGGAAGACGTCGACGGACGTTAGGAGGCCGGTGTCTTTTGCGGTCTTACAAGGTTTGGTGGGAAAGTTACCGGAGTTATGTTCCTCGCCATTTGAGGTGGTCCTTTTTTCTGGTGCGTTTGTCTGGGCGTTTTTCGGGGCGTTTCGGATCGGGGAGCTGGTTAGAGCAAACAAAGTGGGAGTTGGTGGCTTGCAGCGCGAGGATGTGGAAGTTAAGAGTGATCGCGTGCAGATTAGGTTGGGCCGATCGAAAACTGATGTTTTCGGCAAAGGCTGCTCCGTGGTGCTATTCGAGTTGCCGGGGTCAGAGTTGTGCCCGGTGGCCTGCGGATCAGGGTACCTGGGGATCCGTCCTAACGTTAGCGGTTGTTTTTTCCTGCACGCTGATGGCACGGCGCTGTCACGGTTTCAATTCATTAGGATTTTTCGTTTGGGCTTAGTGAAGCTGGGCCTGCAGCCCACGCAATTCGGGTCGCATTCGTTCCGTATCGGTGAGGCTACAGAGGCGGCACGCTTGGGTTTGGGTGACGAGCGGATCAAGAGGATCGGACGGTGGGAATCCGTGCGGTTTCGCTCGTATGTGAGGCCCGACGGGATGGTGGAGCTTTGAGGGGTTAAATGGCCAGGACTGGGGGACATTGGCTCTGCGGTGTAATTAATTTTGTCTCTTTTCAGGTTGGAATGTTTGGTTGCTGGGACACTCGTTCGTATATTGGGCACAGAAGAGGGCCGCAGTTCGGAGACAAGGAACACAACTGGGCTTTCCTCTGGAACGGGCGGCCTTATCCTGGTTTGGTTTTCGAGGTTTTAGTTGGCAGAGCTTGAGTAATGTTTTATTTACAAAAGTGTCCAAGGGTCCGGTTCCGGATGTTGTAGTGGTGCACGGTGGGGGGAATGACTTAGGGCTGATTCCGCAACGGGAACTGTTGCGGCGAATGAAGAGGGACATGGATCGGCTACTGGAGCTGGTCCCTGACGTGGTGGTGGTGTGGTCCGAGATGGTGCCTCGTTTTACATGGCGTCACGCCAGGGACCCTGCTGCGGTGGCACGATGCAGGGGGAAGGTTAATAGAGCTATGGCAGTATTTGTTAAGAGGATGGGGGGAATAGTGGTGAGGCATCGGGAACTGGAGGGCATGTTGCCAGGTTATTATAGGAGGGATGGAGTACACCTGTCAGAGGTGGGGTGTGACTTGCTGAACTTGGGGTTCCGGGAGGGCATAGCCCGAGCCCTGTTTCAGTGTGGTGGGGGTCGCACATGGTCTTAAGGGGTCAAGACAAGTGCTGTGGCGGAACAGGGCGTGGTTAAGTTGGAAGTTATCAAGGAATTGGAACTGTACAGGCCAGGGCCTAGGCTGAAGTAGGCCAGACGGTGTCATGGTTGGTAGGTTCTAGCTCTTCGGTGGCGACGAACCTGGGGGTGTAGGGGTGTCTGGGTACACCCCTACAGTTATCATTATGATATGGGGCCTCGTTGGTAGGCCGGATGTTTACAAGTTTATTGGTAATTGATGTTAATTATTGTTCATGTGGTAGGGTCATTGTCAGGGGATTGTGCGGGGGGATAATAAATAATGTCATTTATGACAATGACCCTAATTATGTTAATTTATTCATATTAATAAAGCTGTGGACGTTATACTCCAACAGTATTAAACGTGTCCGTGTATTATTAAAGTTAAAGTTTATAGCACATGCCGAACAACGACAGTGCAAATGTCATGAAGCCCATGGAACAACGAAGTAAGGGGAGTGGGCCTTGACAGAGCCAGGAGTGGGCAGGTGCATTCAGTTAGGGATTGGCTTAAGCTAATGGAGCTTGGGGGCGGGATCAAAGGGGGTTGAAATAACGGCCATCTTAGAGAGTGGCCATTTTAATCAGGACTTCACTTACCTGTCAGTTGTCCCACCCACCCTCCCTGTGTTGAGGTGAATTTCCCGTTTTGTCACAGCGGCGGGAACAGGGCGTGGTTAAGTTGGAAGTTATCAAGGAATTGGAACTGTACAGGCCAGGGCCTAGGCTGAAGTAGGCCAGACGGTGTCTAGCTCTTCGGTGGCGACGAACCTGGGGGTGTAGGGGTGTCTGGGTACACCCCTACAGTTATCATTATGATATGGGGCCTCGTTGGTAGGCCGGATGTTTACAAGTTTATTGGGAATTGATGTTAATTATTGTTCATGTGGTAGGGTCATTGTCAGGGGATTGTGCAGGGGGATAATAAATAATGTCATTTATGACAATGACCCTAATTATGTTAATTTATTCATATTAATAAAGCTGTGGACGTTATACTCCAATAGTATTAAACGTGTCCGTGTATTATTAAAGTTAAAGTTTATAGCACATGCCGAACAACGACAGTGCAAATGTCAAGCAACATCTGGAGGGCCGGAGTTTTTGGAAGCCTGCACTAAGGTGACAGTTGTGAATAACCTTGCAGGGCCACTTAGCTGATATATCCACAACCACCTGGCTTTATATACCAGAGATTGGAGACGAGCAGTTACTGCATGTTCACCAGTGAACATCTTTAACCAAAGTAGAGGGCCAGCAATTGCCCAACACCCATCGCAAACTAGCTGGCCACCACAATCTAAAGTAATGAAAATACTGATTCAAGGTAGTAAGTTTGTGTCTGGGTTTCTTCACCTGCCCCACTCCCCGCAGACCTCAGGAAAAAAAAACCCTCACAAAAAAACCCTATATGCATGGGAAGGCAACCTTCGGCACTCCAAATTACATGGACTATATCTCCCAATTTGCTCTTACAACCATTATGCTGACAAAGCAACATGCCGAATGGTTGCCTACTGCTGAGATATACCAAACTGTATCACAACGCAGTCCCCTTTGCAAAGGAGTACAAATATTAGGGTGTTGTGCAAAATGTATCTCATGCAAATTAGAAGAACAGGTCACTTAATTAATTTCCTGGCTCCAAAAATGGGTCACCAGGCTAATGCCATGTACATAGTTAGGGTCTGTGACAAACTGATTAAAACCCACAGTGCTAAGTTAATCCTCTTGACAGTCAGTTCTGGCTATGTGCAATGTATTAAGTCAGTTAACAGAGCACCACAAAGGTTACTTTAACAACTTTAATATTACACAGTACTCAGCTTTGGAAAATGAAACATGTCACTGTCATTACCGCCCATATGGTTGAAAAGGAAACTCCAGTATGACATTTAAATGAATTAACCCATTAAGAGCCAAAAGTATTCCAATGACTTGCAAAGTGCTACTGAACTTCTATTACACTGCCTCTAACACAATTTGCAACCACATGTGACTAATTCTTAAAACATATGATTTTGTGATCACATTATTTGCATATGCAGGGACTCACATATATTCATCATTAGACATCTAATCATTACACCAACATCACTGAATATTCAGAATGTATCCTCAATGTCATTCTATGTGTTATCCTACTTTTAATTAAGAAATCTTCACATGAAATATAATATTATTGTGCTTTAAATTTTAAAATACTCTAACTGAGCTTTAAAAGGTTATATATATATATATATATATATATATATATTCCATTAAAGATCAGGTGCTCTTTTGCTTATCAGTTAATCAGCAATGCTAAGTAACCTGAATATTTGAGTTCTCAAAGTCATATTTGCTGCTAATTCAACTCCTGTCTTTAAAACTTACTCCACACAGCAATGTATTCAAAAACACCCCACAAAATGCACATCACTTATCCAGGGGAAATACTGGAATCCTCCCAAATCTCACAGGAGATGAAAGATATTAATTTCTATGTATCCACCACGCGTAGCACACTTTCAGAAGATAGAATTCCCCCCCACTCTCCCCGGCCCCTTCTCCAACTAATACAACACACTCTCTGACTGTCCCTTTAAATACCACATGGCTCTCCATGGAATTAGAACGCTCTGTACATTCTGTAAATAATGAGAATTCTCACCTGATTTGGATAACGGGGCCCGGGCTCTGTAATGCCAAGTCTGATCAGAGGGGCGGGTATGCTATGGCAGGGGAGGGTATATTTGGGAGGGGGGGCAGACAAGGGGAGGGGAACAATGAATTGAATCTGGGAGGGGAGATTTCAAAGACAAATGCAGGGAAGCAGCTTTGGCATATGGAGAAGTGAGTGGGGTGGTGAAAGGGGGAGGAGATGGAGAAATGGAGGGATGGATGATTTGTGGGGTAGCCTGATAAGAGAGGTGTAGGGAGAGAACGATGGAAGGTAGGAGGGGACATTGAGTATGAGACTGCAAGGACAAGGGACAGGTCAAGGAGAGAGCTTGCTGGGGAAAGCAGACTAGAGTAAAAGTCATTTTAGAAGTGCAGATGAGTAATATTGTATCTATAAACAGAGATTGGTAATATCAAATTCGGGTATTACTGGGGGGATATTTATCAGGATAAAACAGATTTATTGTGGGATTAGTAACAATCACCATATATATCATGAGAGTGCTTCTAAACATTTTAGCACTTTGTCCCAGAATAGCACCTGATTAGCCTTAATAACCCCCATTCAGAGAGGCACAACATGTGTTTTATTTCCCTCTTTTTATTATTTATTTTTATTTATTTTTTTACTTTAATGTTTTGGAACCACATTTAAAATGATGAATGTACCAGAATGGTGCAGCAAGGACATACATTTCTGTACAACATAACTGGGGAAGATTTATCAAAGTGTAAAATTCTGGCTATTTTAATTAATTACGCTGACAAAAATGCAAAATGGGCACAAAACTTTCTGAGACACTCTGATAAATCTGGCCCCTGCAGGTAAACCTCAAATAAGCCATTTTACATTTACTACCTCATCAGAGTATCAGTGTACTCCACAGCCAGACTATTACCTCATCACAACATCCATGTGTTCCCCAGCCAATCAGATCATGCCATTTTACACTTATTATACTTATAATAATTAAGTGTTCTTGCATAGCAAGACCACTTAATGTTATCTCACATATATATTATTATTATTAAGTGTTCTTGCATAGCAAGACCACTTAATGTTATCTCACATATATATTATTATTATTATTATTATAGCAAAATTTGCCACCCTAACTCCTCCCACAGTTTTACACTACATAGACAAAAATTTACCAAAACGTGCAGATTGTTCCCGATCGGATTGCTATTACTTTGTGGAACGTTTCGCCGAATGGTTCACGGAATATCGTCGTTCTTGTGGCGCAATTTGTCCCATAGGAATGAATGGCAAAGCTAGAGTGGGAGCTGGCAAAAGCTGAAAAATCAGGACATGATTTCTAAACTGCCACCACTCCCTTGTTTTCAGGCCCACCTACACAAATCTTATATCAAAACGTTCAGCTATCCCTGCTGCCACTAAACATGTCAACGGCTAAGCCGTAGTCCTGATAGTTTTCACAATATGACCATTTGTTTGCAACTCACGCCTTCCATTGACATTCATTGAAACTTCACTCAAGCCAGCTCAAACTTGAAGGGCAATTTCTAAACTGCGACTGTGCCTTCATTTTTAATACTTCAGCGACATACTATGCATCAAAATGTAGGTCTGGGTCTTGTGATTCTCACAATATAAAGCTCTTCGCTCTAGGAGTTATAGTTTTTAAAATACGACCGTTTGAAGATGGCAACCGCCAAAATACTCTGACCTGTGTAGGGCTGCAGCAGCAAGTGATGTCATAGACAGGGCCTTTTGAACACCTGCTAATGTTTTTATAAATGTATGGTTTAATGTAACTGTGCAACAACGTTGCAATTAAATGTGCTATGTAAATGATAACAGTTACTCCGCCCTCTCCAGTTGTAGACTCCTGGTGGAGGCAAGAACACTTCACACAATTTCCCCAGAAATTGTAAATTTTCTAGTTATTATTATTATTATTATAGCAAAATTTGCCACCCTAACTCCTCCCACAGTTTTACACTACATAGACAAAAATTTACCAAAACGTGCAGATTGTTCCCGATCGGATTGCTATTACTTTGTGGAACATTTCGCCGAATGGTTCCCGGAATATCGTCGTTCTTGTGGCCAAATTTGTCCCATAGGAATGAATGGCAAAGCTAGAGTGGGAGCTGGCAAAAGCTGAAAAATCAGGACATGATTTCTAAACTGCCACCACTCCCTTATTTTCAGGCCCACCTACACAAATCTTATATCAAAACGTTCAGCTATCCCTCCTGCCACTAAACATGTCAACCGGCTAAGCCATAGTCCTGATAGTTTTCACAATATAATAATTTGTTTGCAACTAACGCCGTCCATTGACTTTCATTGAAACTTCACTCTGCAAAGCTCAAATTTGAAGTGCAATTTCTAAACTGCGACTGTGCCTTCATTTTTAATACTTCAGAGACATACTATGCATCAAAATGTAGGTCTGGGTCTTGTGATTCTCACAATATAAAGCTCTTCGCTGTAGGAGTTATAGTTTTTAAGATACGACCGTTTGAAGATGGCAACCGCCAAAATACTCTGACCTGTGTCAAGCTGCAGCAGCAAGTGATGTCATAGACAGGGCCTTTTGAACACCTGCTAATGTTTTTATAAATGTATGGTTTAATGTAACTGTGCAACAACCTTGCAATTAAATGTGCTATGTAAATGATAACAGTTACTCCGCCCACTCCAGTTGTAGACTACAGGTGGAGGCAAGAACACTTCACACAATTTCCCCAGAAATTGTAACTTTTCTAGTTACTTATTGTACTCATCCGGTACATGTCATTTTACATTTTAAAAGGAACATTTGAAACACCATTACCACTACATCATGTTTAAAGTGCCCCCCCATGTGTTTAAAATATATTTGACTTTTTATATTGCATCCCACTCCCCTACTCTCCTGTATGGGCAGCTAGGAACTTCCGTCGCTACCAGAGCTAAACCCTGCAGTGCAGGTTGAGAGTGTTAGCTGATTGCTTAGCTCAGGTAGAGAACTTCTGTCTGTTAGAGAGGCAAGGACCCAAGGTTAGCAAACAGTTTGACAACATACATTGGGGATAACCAGAGCGCACCTGGCACCATAACCCCTATAGTATGTTTCAAATGTTCCTTTAATTATAGTTTAGAACCAATCAACAGTGACAAACATATTAAGAACCGGATATAAGGGAAGTAATATGCCCACTCTCGGTTTTACTTAGCGACTAAAAGTTCTTCCTGGTTGGGGCTTCCTAAGATATCAACAATATTTTGTCACAAACTCAAGGGCCAAGAGTGAGGCCACACTTCTTCAGAGGAGGAACACATTGTTGCCGCCATTAGCTAGCAAAAGGCCATTTTTTTTTTAAATAGTTGAATTCTTTTTATTGTAGCACAAGAGCCAACGTACATAAAATAAGTTAAAAGTAAATGCATGGATGGCGACATTTTCAAGTGAAATATCATTATATATTACATATATTAAGCATATGTGCCATAAGACCGACAGAAAATAAGTGTCAAAAAAGCATTGCGAGTGAAGCATTGCTCCAGTATAAATCAACATCGTCAAATTCCAATTCTGCAAGGACAATCATACAAAAGTGAGAGGGGATTCGCTTTTCCCTCAATAATACGGATTTTTGGAGTCTTTTCAGATGTTGCTTCATACGGCACTAGTGAGATCATCCACCACTCTCTCCCTGCTCACTTCCTTACTGGACAATTTGGACTTTGCAAGTCGGCCTTCCTGGGGTGAAAGCTGTTGCTATCAAAGTAATTCCAAACTTTGCTTCGATGGCGCGATAGAATACTTCAACCCCTTGCCTTGTGTCTTCTAAAGATGCGGTGGATTTGCATCTGTGGAAGTTGAAGCTGTCGCAACACTAGCACGTACACTAGCACTTGGTAGATTCATCATAATAAAAAAAAATTGGTGGTGGTATTGGTGGTGGTGGTGGTAACAATGACAGTGGGTGAGCTACTTGTGCCACTCGTAGGAAGTACAGCTGATGGTACAACTATCGGATGAAGCAATTCCGAAGCGGATACAGATGGACTTGCAAGAGGCACAGATGCAGTCGGTGTAAATAAGATACATTGTTCTTGTTCCAAATGAGATATTAGTTGCATAAATTATTAGTAAGGTCACCTAAAATTTGTCAGAAACTGTCCAAACCCCCACTCAAACCACTAAAACAAAAGTGTCCCTTTTTGTCAATTTAAAATGTTGGGAGGTTTGTAATAGTATTAATAATATAATGGTATTGAACATTACTTTTATTTTTTTTGTATTTTGCCACCCATGTAATGTGATTTATAAAGTGTAATAATTGCAATAGGAAGCATTACTGTGAAAACCATTGCATGAAGCAGAGCATTGTGGGACACTTAATATGCTTAACCGATATAATCTTCTAACAAAATCAAATCACTTGAGACATCATTTTGGCAAAACACATAAAAACGTAAAAAAGAATAATTTCGATTTATAGTCTATCTATATTCTTTCTGGTTATGTCAGTTTTTCAAATGGGATGGCATTTTTCTATAAAAATATGAATGTGTAGAATCCAATAAAAGTATTGAGTAAGGTAGCATTGTGTTAAAAGGGAAATATTTCTGGTACCTGTTACAAATTTGAATAGAGGCCTATAAATAAAAATGAATGTGTTTTGCTCCATCTAGTGGCTCCTAGTAGTATTTCACACATACTGTATATTCATTTTTAAAAGAACAGTTTATGCACCATAACTGCTACAGCTTGCTGTAGACCTGACACCCCCTAAGTAGTGAAACCATTTTAGAAGTGTGTGACTTTTTACCTGGGGTATGTGGGATCCACTGCAGCCTACATTAGTATTCAAGGTGTTTTTTCTTCTTTTTACATTACATTTAAATATAGGAAATTAAATCCTTTATTTTGTCAAACAAAACTCTAACGTGCAATCAAACTGCCCCTCAGTCTTACAGACACACACACAATACCTGTCTGCTCTCATACCCCCGGGCACACTTGACACTGCATTACTTCACATGCAACAACTGGGTATCGCCCCCTCCTTCCTTGGACCCCCTGTTACAGGCACCAGTTTCCCTTCTCTGTTTCAGCTCTACGCGAGCTACACTGCGCTACGAAGAAGCAGGTAAACAGGTGTATGTATTAGTGAGAGCACACTCTGCTCCTATACAAAAATACCCCTTGCACATATTTTACTCGGATTTTTAAAATTTCCAGCCTTTCTGATCTGGAACAGCCTCTGGAAGACGTCCTGTAAAATTATACAAAATGAGTTGTGGTACATTTAGGAACATAAGGTTCAGCTTTCTTGATGTAAAGGAGAAATTAGAATATATTCAGTGAACTAGAGAACGAATTCTTAAGAAAAAAAAAAACCTATTTCTTTTCAGTTGGTTCAGTACATATTCCTGGTTAGCAGCACTCAATACAATGTAAAAAAATATCTCAATTACTTAAATCATTAAGCTAGCCATCTTAAAGCACTCTTGATGTTGTGCAGTGCTCCTATGGAAAGGAAAAAATAAGCTCCATTTTGAACTATGAGCTATTTGGAAAAACTAGACAAATCTAGTAAAATGTAGTTTTGACATTAAAATGGGTGTTAATTTCGATTACACCCAGTGGCGTACACATGACCCATGGGGCCCCGGTGCGAAAATTGATCTGTGGGCCCCCCCCGCGCGCGGGCCGGGCCGCAACACATGGCGGTGGGCACCTGGTCGCAGGGGTTACAGGGCTGCGACCGCGGTATGTACGCCAGTGCATGCAGATGCACACACACTTAAAGGACCACTACAGACACCCAGACCACTTCAGCTTAATGAAGTGGTCTGGGTGCCAGGTCCAGCTAGGGTTAACCCATTTTTTCATAAACATAGCAGTTTCAGAGAAGTGTCAGGTCCCTCTAGTTTTAACCCTGCAGCTGAAAACATAGCAGTTTCAGAGAAACTGCTATGTTTCACTGAGGGTTAATCCAGCCTCTAGTGGCTGTCTCACTGACAGCCGCTAGAGGAGCACACTGAACGTCCATAGGAAAGCATTGAGTAATGCTTTCCTATGGGCGGTTTGAATGCGTGCGCGGTCGCATTCGGAGCTGAGAGGCTGAGGGATCCCCAGCGCCAAAGGAGTCCGGCGCTGGAGAAAGGTAAGTGCTGAAGACACACACACTCTCACTTACAGACGCATACACACTAGCTAACAGACACACACATTTACTGACAGAGACACACTCAGCAACAGACATACACACTCACTTACAAAACATACACTCTCATTGACAAACACGCACACACTAACAGACATCAAAGACTCACTGACACTCACTAGCACACACATACTACACTCACACACACTAACACTCACTAGCAGACACACGCACACTCACTCTAACACTCCCACACACTATAACACACTCCCCTTTAGCAGACACACTAACACTCACTGGCGGGCCACACACTCAAACACTAACACTAGTTTTTTGTTTTTGTTTTTTTAAATGTAATCCCCCCAGCCTCCTTACCTTTTGGAGTGCTGGGTGGATTCCCTGGGGTCCAGTGGTGCTGCTGGGCTCCTGGGCGGGTGGCCGGTCGGGCAGGCGGGCGCGCGAGGGAGCACTCAGTGCTTCCTCTTCAGCTCCGCGCGCCGCGTAGGGATGCCGGGGCCGGAAGATGACGTCATCTTCCGGCTCCGGCATCAGTGCGGTGCGCGAGGGAGCTGAAGAGGAAGCACTGAGTGCTCCCTCGCGCGCCCGCCTGCCCGACCAGCCATCCGCCTGCCTGGGGTCAGCAGGGCCAGCCTCGGGGGGCCCTGGGGTGGTCGGCTCCTGGGCCCACCAGGGGAAGAGGATGGCCCTGTGGGTACATACCGGGTCGCAGGGGCGGCCGGGCCTCCTGGAGGGCCGGGCCCGGTCGCAGCCGCGACCCCTGCGACCCTGGTATGTACGCCACTGATTACACCTGTAAGTGACCCTTTTAAAAACCCTGCACAGTAGAGTTGTATTGCTCAGTTGTACTGTGCTGCTGGTACTGAACAATTGGCATTACTTGGCCCATTCTTCGGATATATGTTGTGCATTGGCCTGTTTGCCTATTTTCGATCTTCTGCTGCCTTAATCCTTTGGCTGTCTGCCTTTGTTTTTTAGCCTTTACAGTGTATTTTAAGTGCTTTGGAATTTTCTGCCTTCACTGAAGCCTTTTATAGTAGTTTGGCTCCAGGCACCTACCCTAACGTTACAAATGAGTATTTTGAGGAGCTCATGCACCTCTGAGAGGCTGTAACCTGGCAAATAAAGTCCCCTCAGGCAGACTGTTGCAGGTCTTCAAGTCAATCAAGCCCAATTACAGGACCAGCTGCCCAATATAAATATGCAAACCAACCCTGACACACCTCCACCCCGTAACGAGAAACCACTGGGCTTCGGTGCAAAAACTGCCCTGGGGCCCTGCCTTATGTCTACCCCCCTGCCACCCCGCATCTACCCTCCCCCTCCCATACATTCCCCTCCCCCCACACATGCAGACAAACAGATACACATGCAGACACACACATAAATACAGAGACACATACAAACAAACATACAAATACACATTCATACAGACATACACACAAACATATATACAAATACATACAGACATACATATAGACACACACACACATATACAGACATATACACACACACACAGACATACACACACACACACATACAGAGAAACATTCATACAGACACATATTCAAAATGTTTTAGTCATCCTCCTGTCTCCTACCTTTTAGGTGCAGGAGGGTGACTTTTACTGGGGTCCAGTGGCTCAGCCTGATGGGAGTTCCCACTCTGACTCCCTCCTCTGCCTCCTCCCACGCAGCTCCCGGTGTAAGCTGGGAGGAGTGACCGGGGCAGTCACTTTCTCCCAGCGTCTGATGTCATCTCAGGGGCCCAGTCGTGCTGTTAAAGCACCGCAGCGTTGACCAGGCACCCTGGTGATTCATTGCCATCGGGTGGCCTTAACAGCATGGGCCACTTGATGGGCCCCTTCAATGAGGCCCCGGCGGATTCTACCGCACGGGCCGGGGCGCGTTACTTAGCACTGCGGTCACAGGCGTCCGCCGGGTGGCCAGGCCCCCTGGAGTGACAGACCCGGTCACTGCTGCGACCGCGGTAGTTTGCCACTATTCATATGGTCTCACTGCAGAAGATTCACAAGTACCTGAGCCATCACTGCCATTACCTAACCTGGTAAATGAGATCCAATCAATACAAAGCTTTCATGAGCAACTGTTAGAGGGAATTATAGACACCCAGACCACCTTATCTCATTGCAGTGGTCTGGGTGCTCTGTTGAAGTCGCCTTAACCCTGCAATGTAAATCAGTTTTAGAGAAACAGCAATGTTTTCATTGCAGGATTAAGACTGCCACTAGAGGCGCTTTCTTCAGTTTGGATTAGTGAAATGCCGCTAGATATCCTCATGCTGTGAATGAGGATGTCCAGTGTGTTGAAATACCCCATAGGAAAGCATTGATTCATGCATGTGCATTAGGTTCCCGTTCCACGCCAATGTCAGAGGAGGATGAGCCTGTTCCAGCACTGATGGAATCAGGTAAATGTTTAAAGGTTTTTTTTAACCCTTTACATGGCCAGGCTGGAGGGAGCAGGACACTATAGAGCAGTAATACAGCTTTGAATTCCTAACACTATAGGGTTCATTTAACAACTGTTTGCTGTAAATCCTGCACCTATTAATGTGATTATATTAAAGTCAAGCTTGTAATCAAACTGCTGATGGGAGATGGATTGAGAAGCATCATCATTCAGACATCAATGAACCAAATCACACCCTTGGATCAGTATAGATGGGGGCTGTCAAAAAACCCTCAAGGATAAATTGGCCCAAACTGAAGTATTTGAGGTTATCATAAAATAAAAAATATTGTCTCCAGAGGATGTTGGGGTTATCCACCCAACCAAGGGGTTTAAGCCCCTTCATTTGAACAATCAGGAGAGAAAAAGAAAGATAAACATGGGAGACATCAATGTCCGAATTCTTGTAAAAACACAGCTTTATTGAGAATGCTTAAAAAAGGCATCTATTGCCATAAACAAAGTTTAAATAATTAAAATAAAAATTACCTATTATATGCACTCTTTTTCTATGTTCAGGTCGGCTGGTAATAAATTAAGATATATTCACTATATAGCTTTTATTTTAGTATTTTTTTATACCAGCGCTGTGATATGGAACAGCCATCCCTAGAGGCATTTCTCTGCCTCTGTACTTTGATACCTTTCAATAACTTTGTGACTTGCGATCTCTCTGATAGTAGTGAATTGGTATATATCCTTGACACCTTTTTTTGTATCCAATAATTCTTCTCTGGGGATCTTTTCAGACAATTTTTGAATTCTTTTTGGTATAAGTTCTATTCAGGGTGCGGCGATAAGCTTACAGAACTTTTTTCTTTTTCTTTTGATTATTTAAACTTTTTTGATGGCAATGGATGCCTATTTAAGCATTCTCAATAAAGTAGTGTGTTTACACGAGTTTGGACATTGATGTCTTCCTTGTTTATCTTTCTTTTTCTCTCTTGAGGTTATCATACCAAAACCCATTAAAAAGAGAATTTAAAGTAGAAATAGCCATTCCTCTTAGAGAACCACCCTTGCTGCAATAGTGGCACTGAGAAATCCCAAGGATGAACCTTTGTAAATAGGATTGGTAAAGGGGCATTTATCAACTGGAGCGTTAACCAGAATATTGAATAACAGACTCTAAAAGAGTTAGCTACTAAAGGGAGAATTAAAAATGAAATTCACATTTAAGGCCAGAGTAGTCGAACTGGCAGCATAACTTGCTTAGAGAATTTTTCCTGTTTGGCTTTTTTGACCTTAACCCCTTAAGGACCAAACTTCTGTAATAAAAGAGAATCATGACGTCACACGTCATGTGTCCTTAAGGGGTTAAAGGGACACTATAGTCACCTGAAAAACTTCAGCGTAATGAGGTTGTTCTGGTGAGTATAGTAGATCCCCGCAGGTCTTTTAATGTAAACACTGTATTTTTAGAGAAAAGACAGTGCTTATATTGCAGCCTAGGAACACCTCCAGTGGCAGTCACTCAGACGGCCACTAGAGGGACTTCCTGGTTCAGTCAAACCTGATGTGCACTACGTTTAGCTGAAGACTTCAAACGTAGTATCAGGACATTGCAGGCACTGTGAACGCACCTGCAGTGTCCTACAGTAACCCCTGAGGCTGTCAGTGGTCAGAGCTGTTAGTGTAGGAGATGAGGGTCTCCTGCACATACAGCGTCGACTCTGGCTGACAGGCTGCTGAAGGCAGAAGACAGGAGGCTGGAGACTCAGCATAAGGATATATTTGCCATCTGCCACTGATCTACTGGACTTCAAATAGTAAGTAAACTTATTTTACAAACAAGTGAGTTAGAGAGAGAGAGAGTGAGAGGGTGTCAGAGAGAGAGTATCAGAAAGAGTGCCAGAGAGAGTCAGTGAGAGAGTTAGTCAGAGAGATAGAGTGTGTGAGAGTAAGTCAGAGAGCTAGAGAGAGTCAGAGAGTGAGTTAGAGAGAGAATGAGTTAGAGAGCTAGAGAGAGTGAGTTAGAGAAAGAGATAGAGAGAGACAGAAATAGAGAGTGAGAAAGAGACAGTGAGAGTGATAGAGACAGAGGGAGAGAGAGTGAGAGACAGAGATAAAGAGTGATAAAGAGACAGTGTAGCGGAGCTCCCTGTACCCCTGGCTGGGTACCTCCGCCAAGGACCGCTTTCTAGCTGGAACAGGGCACAAACCGCAGCACTTCTGCCCACAGTCGCCGTGGCTTGATTAGGTCTCTGGAACCGCTCCTTCCTTGAGTCGGATGGGGAATTAGCTCTAGTCATTACAAGGACATTTACCATTGAATCCCCTGCAAGCTGGAACAGTAGACACAAGTAAATCTTCTTTCCCACCAATAACAGGACGACACACAGTTTTGGAGTGTAAACTGGAATAGATTTTAATGGTGCCACACTTGGCCTTTTATGCAAGTCCCCAAGCAAGGGGTACGCCCTCATGGACCTTGTTGGGAACAGGGACACAAAATTCCAAACCAATAACCACACATTTACAGTGTAAGGCACTCCCATACAAAGCAAACAATCCCTCCCCTCTGCCTGGGAGATAATTGGATCAGATACTGTATTAACCCAATTAACTCCAGGCAGAGAAAACACACATTTATAATAGTCCCAAAAGTACCCCAAAACACATGATATCCCCACAAATGTCACATCCTCTGATAGCCCTGATCTGGGTGACCAGCATATCCAAAAATCACCCAGATCAGTTAAGGGGTTCAGAAATTCTATGGAAGTCATTTATTTGACCGACCGCAAGCATGGCCCCATGCCCAAAACAGTTCCAGAGAATCAGGGCTTGCGGTCAGTCTAGTTCGGTAGTTTGAAAACGAAGAAACTACGGAACAGAGTCAGTAGTCTTACCCTGGAGCTTGTTCCTTTCATTCAGACGAATGATCCCAATGAACAGTGCCCTTCTAACTTGTATAAAACCGAACGCAGGCGATGATGGAAGTCCAGCGGTGTTCAGGAGTTTCTATAGCCGATTTTAGTTCCAGGAGATTCATACCCAAACAGTGCTGCCTGTGTTCATGCGAACAAGATGGCAGCCACCTGGTGATTGTCCATAGGAATTGTGGCCACACAGATGAACAATTAGAACACTGCAGTTAGAAATGTTCCAAGTTGTTAATAGGTGTTAACAAGCTCCATATAATCCCAATTGCACAAACAGAGACGTTTACATTATTTTTCACAGGATCCATAGTCAGTGAGCAGAAGGCTGGCAAGCAGGCTCCTCCAGAAGCTCGTGGCAAACTCAGGTAAAAAGGGGCGTTTGTCACATATCGGATTGTTTGCTTTTTAAAATTCTTTATTTTTGTCATGCATGTATCAACAACAATTACACAGAGCCACATCAGCGTCTGTGTGCATCTGACAGCATTTAACAGTATCACAGGTTAATACAGCACATTTTTAAGGTTAAAGAGTAAAAACAAGACATAAAAAAAAGAAAAAAAACGATTCTGTTAGTAAACAGTGAGGTGGATAATACGCAAAACTCTATAAACATTCGATTTCAAATTCCGTTCTAATAAGCAGTGGCAGTCTTGCTACTTACATTGCTTATTGATATAAAAAGAGACCCATAAACTGTGAGAGATGCCCAGAAAATATCAGGGAATTGACGAAAATAACGAGTCAGTACAGTCATAGTGCCTGGCCTTATCGCGTGTAATGATATAGACTGCATGTGTCCATCCCTGACGTATGCCCAATGAGTCCGCTATCTAAAGTTAGGTGTTGAAGAGTGCGACTGTCATGGCAGCTATACCATGATCCCATTCTACGTAAAAGCCCAACTCGCTCACAGACTACATTGTGGATTGTTTGCTTTGTGTGGGAGTGTCTTACATTGTAAATGTGTTTTTATTGGTTTGGAAGTTTGTGTCCCTGTCCCCAACAAGGTCCATAGGGGTGTACCCCTTGCTTGGGGATCTGCATAAAAGGCCAACTGTGGCACTATTAAAATCTAGCTTACAGTCCAAAACTGTGTGTCATCCTATTATTTGAGGGAAAGAAGATTCAATGGGGAAAGTCCCTGTAAGGACTAGAGCTGATTCCCCATTTGGCTCCAGGAACGCGCAGTTCCAGGGCCCCAGTGAAGCCAAGGCGACTGTGGGCAGAAGTGTCCCCTGTTCCAGCTAGGAAGCGGTCCTTGGTGGAGGTACCCAGCCAGGGGTACAGGGAACTCCGCTACAGACAGTGAGAGAGAGAGAGAGACTGAGACAGAGATAAAGAGACAGAGAGTGAGAGAGAGACAGTGAGAGTGGAGAGACCGGGAGCAAGACAGAGAGTGAGAGAGAAAGATTGAGAGAGAAAAGAAAGAGAGAGTGTGAGAGCGAGTTAGAGAGAGTGTGAGAGAGATAGGTAGAGATAAATAGATAGATAGAAAGATAAAGATATAGATAGATAGATGGATAGAGAGAGAGATAGAAATAGAGAGAGATAGAAAGAGGCTAAGCAAGTTATAAGAGCCTCCAAAGCGCACACAGAAGAGAGAATAGCACAGTCAGTAAAAAAAGGGGGATACCACATTTTTTAGATACATAAATGAGAAAAGGAAAGTAAAACAAGGATTAGTTAGATTAAAAACAAAAGAAGGAAGGTATGTAGAAGAGGATAAAGGTCTGGCTGACTGCCTCAATGAATATTTTTGTTCAGTATTTACAGATGAAAATGAAGAAGAGGAACTTCAGTTAAGAAAAAGGACAAATGGGCCATTTATTACATGTGAGTTTACAGAGGAAGAGGTTCCATTTCAACTGTCAAAAGTAAAGACAAAAAAGTCAATGGGATCTGATATAATACACCCAAAGTTATTAAAAAAAAAACGTAGTGGTGTACTAGCAAAACCATTAACAGATTTATTTAACCAATCATTGTTTACAGGAGTAGTCCCAGAAAATTGGAAATTAGCGAACGTTGTGCCCATGCACAGGAGAGGTAGTAGGGAGGAGTCGGGCAACTATAGGCCAGTAAACCTTACTTCAGTAGTGGGGAAAGTGATTGAAACCATGTTAAAGGATAGGATTGTTGAACATCTAAAATCACATGGATTTTAAGATCAGAGACAACATGGGTTTACTTCAGGGAGATCATGTCAAACTAATCTTATTGATTTTTTTGATTGGGTAACTAAAATAATAGATCAGGCTGGTACAGTAGACATTGCTTACCTAGATTTTAGTAAGACTTTTGACATTGTTCCATATAGAAGGCTTATGGATAAACTGCAATCTTTAAGTTTGGATTCCAATATTGTTGAATGGGTTAGGCAGTGGCTAAATGACAGGCAACAGAGGGTTGTAGTAAACGGAGTATATTCGAAACAAGGTCTAGTTACCAGTGGGGTATCTCAGGGATCTGTACTTGGACCCATTCTCTTTAATATATTTATTAGTGATATTGCAGAAGGCCTTGATCATTTTGCTGATGATACGAAGATATGTAACAGGCTTGATGTTCCAGGAGGGATAAGCCAAATGGCAAATGATTTAGATAAATTAGAAAAATGGTCAGAGCTGTGACAACTGACATTTAATGTGGATAAGTGCAAGATAATGCATCTTGGACGTAAAAACCCAAGGGCAGAGTATAGAATATTTGATACCCTACTATCCTCAACATCTGAGGATAGGGATTTAGGAGTACCGTATTTTCCGGCGCATAAGACGACAGGGCGGATAAGACGACCCCCAACTTTTCCAGTTAAAATATAGAGTTTGGGATATACTCACTGTATAAGACTACCCCTCTTCCAACGTACACCAAATAAAAATTAGCCATGATGTACAGTGAGCAGACAGAGCCACACAGCAAGACATTAAAGAATTATAATCTGAAATAGCATTTAAAGCCCAGAAATGTGCCAGGCTGTTTGGGCATATAATCCATGCCTGCTGGTCTAGCACACAGGAGGCTAATTGCGATATATGCTCATACTGCCAATCCTTAACCCTTTATTCTGCTTTGACTATTTAAACCTGGCTGGACTATGCTACCTGGATTTGGGGAATTTATGAGGCGCATGGGGCAAACACTACCAAGGCTGGGCGAAATGGGGCAAACTGTACTTAGACTGGGGTGGCATGCACTATACCAGCTTGTTGGCATTGTGAAAAGTGCACTCATGACGTGTGGCATGGAGCATACACTATACAGAATGTTCTTCTTACTACTCCCCCCCCGTGTCCTTCTTACTCCCCCTCCCTATGTTCTTTTTACTCCCCCCCCTCC